TGATTAGGCGCCTTCACTGTGGCAAATAACTTTACATTAAGTGGCTGCTTGAATAGACACATAAAATTTAATTGAACTATGGTAATCAACAGAAACATAAATTATTTAGGCTGCAGATGACTGCTCAGTTATTTACAGTTGCAGCTTCACTCCTTACCAGTAACAAGATGGACAAGATGATGTGAGATATGCTAAAGAATTAGGATGGCCTTGGTGACATAAGCCTTGATGTTTACTCTGGATGTTTACAGACTGACTTAAAACATAGAAATCTGTCTACAACATCACTTGAGAAGACTTGAGAATTAAGACCACAATTAAACTACAATGTCTCATTAAAAATTTGATGCCTACATTTATAGGATAACCTCACAGAGATTAAGATATCTTATTTCAGGAGCGGAGGCCCATCCATCTCCATTGTTAAGACACAACCTTTGCAATAAAAAAAACCCCATCCGTTCACAAATTCAGTTCCACTTCTAGGTACAATTGTATAGTATCTTTTCTAGTATGGATTTAAAAGAAAATAAAGGAAATAAAATGCTTTTTCCTAGGAAGATTTTGAAACATTTGTTTCTATGAAAAAAAAGTATTATATTGAGTTTGCCAATAATCCAGCCTGAATTATTTAATTAAGTAACAATTTCCTGAATATGCCACTGCAACTAAAGAGCTAGAACACCCAGGTCCCAATTTCTATTTCTCAGAAGGGCTGTGTGTGTGTGTGTGTGTGTGTGTGTGTGTGTGTGCGCAACTGCTCACACAAAACCCACATCAGTCCAGACGCCATCTCTGATTTATAAATTTATTCCTCTAAAACAGAGGCAACCAACATAGTCCTGACCTCATTGCTACATGGTGTTTGTTGCCTAACTATAGCAAAAGTCTGATCAGTTAGAGCATTTCCTGGAGAAGCTTGTGAGTAAGAGCAGGTTGATGGTTTATCTTCAGTGAGAGAGCAACCTAGAAACCAAACTTGCCAGATTTTCAAAGACATGAAGTCCCAGAGGTCTGGAACTCACCATTAGCACCTCCACAGTACCTCCACAGGTAACAGAGAGAACAACCTCCTTTCTGCCGAGCCAGTGCAGACTGAGCAACTCCCCCTCCTCTGTCTACAGCCTGCTGAAGCAAGCCAGGCCGTTGGCAGTTATTAATAACCCATCTCCAGACATGCTGGAGAAGTATGTAGTCACACTTCTGAGCTCTCCTTAAGCAATTCCTATCTCCCTACCAGAAAGTTGTAATCTGTCAGAACATGCTACTAAGAATAGATTCACAGAACATCATGTGTCAGGGAGGGGGTAGACCTCATCTACTATCTCCTAAAAAATCTTTTTATAGAAACCACCTAAAAATAGCCTGGAAGCCTAACAGCGTATGTGGTTTGGTTTTTTAAAAATAAAGTTCTGCAGTACCTTCAATTGCAACCTTTTAGAAGTAGGATTTAAATTTCAAGATTTGCCATTGAAGTGATGTTTTAAAAGCACACGTTTCTGGAATAAAATCCTTACAGAAATACCCACAGGTTACCTCTAATTTAAAACTAATTATGCAATAAGGATATCCGGGGAATCCGAAGGCTGGTTTATGAATCAAGATTTCAGAGGGCTGTCAAGTGTCCTCAATGAGTTCACATAAGGGACAGAAGATTGTTAGCAAACTCTGATGAACTTTGCAAGTGATATTACATTGCAGCGATATGAAAGAGAAGACGAAAAGATGTGGTAATTCTCCTGGTGGCTGCCCTCCTGTCTGGAATCAGAAATTCCCCCCAGAGAACCACCTAGCATTTGCTTTGTGGAAAAAAATTCAATAATTGAAAAAAAGCAGTACAGGCTGTAGCTTCAAATTAAAGAGCTTTTGTTGATCTTCACAATCTCATTGATTAAGCCATTAACGACTCAATACCACCAGCCTATAAAATCCCACCATTAGAAGACTTGTTGGCCACATTCATCAGTAACATTAGAAACTCTACTTTTTCAAACTTGAGAGCATGCATATCAGTGAGTCTGTGCCTGTATGCAGTCCTCAGGAAGTACATATGGCACTGAAGAGTAAAAAAATTGTCTTGATTAAAGCAAATAAATTGATTAGGAAAAAGTAATGTAGGAGTACCACAGAAGTCTTCTTACATTGCAATCATGACTAACATACTCAAGCATATTGAAATTTAGTAGTTTTTATTGGGAGACCATTTTTAAGGGGCTAGCGAGTTTTTAATTTTTTTTTAACAGTTGCTGCTCAATATAGAGGAGATTTTAAAAAAAGTGTCTCACACTGCAGAAAGAAACAGGTGTGATTTGCAGTCATCTCCAGTTGCGAAGGTATTTAATTTCAGGGTTTCCACTGGACACCAAAGAATTTTTGTCTCCTGCATGGGTGAACAATATCCATTTGAGAAAGCCTCTAAGAATCAGTGGTGTCAACCACAGTCCTCATCATCAGTGTATTTAGGCAATCTTTTAAAGAAGCTATGACAACTAAGTCATGACCACCTCCAAGACAAGTCAGAGAAGCCTTAAGTTTATTTAGTATTTCCTAGGAAACTAGACCAAGGCTTAATCTGCTTGTGTCTCAGGTTCACACACAAACACACACACATAGCACACATGACAGACCGGGTTCTGTGCTAAGGGACCACTGCAAGGTGCATTTGCATACAGGGGTGTCACACTGCAGCCAACCAGGAGAAAAGCAAGAATCCTGAGCCGGTCCGTCATTGTCACAAACTGCTCCTGGTGAGAGTGACTTTGAAATACCTCTGTTTATCCCCATTATGCCTATGGACAAGATATTCCTGAAGCTCACTCCTTAAATGAAGTTTCATTCCTAACTTTTAATTTCCAGAGCGCACTTGTTTCACACAGTTTATAACCATTTAATTTCTTTTCAACACTGTCCTTGAGTTTAAAATCCTAAACATGTTTTATTTGTCCACTGTCTTGCTTGTATTCAGCTTCAAAAGGCTGTCCTTTATCCAAGGGTGGCCTTCATCCTAGTACAAGGGCTTCCTTGTGGGAATCATGAGCCGGTGCACAACAGAAGATATGTAAAACTGTATTGCTTCTGTTTGGTGCTTGAGCCAGATCAGACACCTTTGTAGCTGCACACTGCAAGAAACTTGATGGAATGACAAAGTGAGTTGATCTCCACATATCTGGAGGAGTCTTATAGTGGAGTTGTTATCTCCCACCTTGGTTGCATCTCTCCAAGTAGTATGTAAAACATTTTGGCCCACCTCTAGTCCCTTTTTCTAAGGATTGATTCTATGATCTAATACTGCAAGAAGCTCCAAAATGGATGTCTTCCATCTTCCACTGTAAGGAAAAATACTCACAGAGAAACCTTTGCTGCTGCTAATGGGAACGATCAGCTATTGACTAGTGATTTCTGGCTATATTTCTGCTATACTTCTGGAAGTTATTAGTGTAACTACAACTCTGCAGCTACAGAATCAAGCTAGATGTGACTGAAATTGTGAGGCTTCCACCGATGATGACATGAAATTGCAGTACCACAGCCAGTGATCAGAAAAGATGCAATGTTTTGAAGATGTCTAGAAAAGGTGGCAGCCTTTTAAAAGAGTCTAAGAGTCTCTAAAAGAGTAATGCTGTGAAAGGAATGGAGACAGAATCTACAGATGTGAATTAGAGAGGTTTTATGGACGTTCGAAAGCTTACAGTGCTGGAGCCATTTCAGATACTAAAACAGCAGATCAGATAATTGATTTTTGTATCTTCTTCTTGTCTTTTATCAATGTTGTGTAAATATAATCTTATCTTTGAAACGCTTTTTGACTCAGAACAGCAATGTGCCTGGGGTATTCAGGTGAATTTTCAGCATGCCTTAAATATTGGAAACATGCTATTTCATCTACATAAACTCAGGCCTTCCCTGAGGAAAGGTATTACAGGTACTGCGAGGGTTTGGCTGGCTGAACAGAGGGAGCTGCTGTTGTGTAATTTAACCCGGAAAGCAAGCAGGCTATGCTCGCAAGCTTGTGAAAATAACCAATAATGTTAGAGATGTCCCTTCAAATTATGGGAGCAGAGGGGGTTGTTTTGCAGGTAACATAAGACTATGGCACATTCCTGGGACTGGCAGCAGTTGTACTGCTGCTGCCTCTTGCTGAGGCTTTGTGCCCTCTTCCCCAGCTGAATAGCTGCTGGTGATGCCAGGGTGCCCCAGTGCCTCTGCTATGGGTTTCTGAGCCCCTGAAGCCCACATAGTACAGGGACCACCAGAGAGCACTGAGGGCAAGCATCAGGTGTTTCATGACAGGTCTACAGGGTAAATCCTATGAGGAGAGGCTGAGGTAACTGGGGTGCCTGGAGGAGCCTTGGTCGTGACCTTAGAGCTCTCTACAACCACCTGAAAGGAGGTTGTAGCCAGATGGGAGGCAGACCCTTCTGCCAAGCAACTAGTGACAGTGTTGTCCGCAGTGTTATTACTGGCTTGTTGCACACTGGCTAACGAATTTCATTTTTGTGGACAACAGGATGAGAGGAAATGGCCTCCAGCTGTGCCAGGGGAGGTTCAGGTTGAACATCAGGAGAAATTTCTTCTCTGAAAGGGTTGTCAGCGTTGGACTGGACTGCCCAGGGAGGTGGTGGAGTCACCATCCCTGGAGGCGTTCAAGAAACGACACTTTGTGCCACGGTCTAGTTGTCTAAGTGCAGATTGGTCATAGGTTGGACTCGATGATCTCGGAGGCCTTTTCCAACCTAATTCTGTTACTCTGAGTCCGCGTTCCTCCCCGTGGCCCGGCCTGGCCCAGCCCGGTCTACCCTCCCCTCCACCATATTATAAACCAGCTCGGGGCTTGCGGCCATGGCCAGGGTGGCGCTGAGGGTGGAAGGAGCGGGAGGTGGTATCGGTATCAGTACCACTGTAGGTGTCGGGCCCTCCCAGCCGGCCGGCCCGCACTACATGTCCCGTCGTGCCGCGGGAGGAGCCGTCGGAGCCGGAACGGGAACGGGAGCGGGCGCCGCTTCCGCCGGCGGGGCGGGCGCGGGCAGCGGGCGGTGCTGCGCAGGTGAGCGCCGGGCAGGGCCGGGCGAGAGGCTCTGGGCTTTCGGAGGGGCCGGACTGCCGAGGGTCACACTCGGGGTTTCATAACGGGTACTCTTTTGCTTGCTTTGACGGATTACTGATTTATTTATTTTTTAAGTTAAATATTTTCTTTAATTATAAAAGTGCCAGGTTTCGTGTTTCCGCGTATTGCTGGCACACGTGTCCCGTGTCTTTAAACTGTCTCCAGCTGTGTTTTTTTAAGCATCTTACTAAGTTTCTCTTTGAAGCAGGTGTTTTTTCTCAGTAGACAATGAAAACATGTCTTTCTGCTTCTGGAGTAATATTTACGGTATTCTAAACGGTGTTTCTTGGTTTTTAGGTGTATTGCTTTTGAGATGGATGAAACCATCTGACTTCATTTAGACAGTTTGTTAACTACAGCAGGTGTTATTTATAAGTACTTCTATTTTTATACTGGGTGATGGTATTTACATTGTGAACAAGAAGAACATGTTTCAGGAATAATTCTATGGAGTGTGCAGAAGGAAGGATCAAATTTTAGGTGGGTGAGTGCCATTAGAAAAACGTGTGAGAAGACCCAAGATTGGAAGCTTTTTTAAAAAGTTAATGTTTTCAAAGACTACCTCTCAGTAAATAAAGTCTTGTACTGCTTTTGACTGTTAAAAAAGCAGGTACCAGTACCATAAATAATAAGGAACTCTAAATAGTTGACAAATAATGAAGAATGCATTGCAAAGATTTTATTTATCCTTAAGATATTCAATAAATTTAATTGTTAGTCTTCTGTATCCTGAACAGTTATGAAACTGGTTTCTTTCAAAGAGTGTTCTGCAGAAAAAAAGGATACATGTCTCTTTGAGTTCCATCGAGTCCGGGACTGGTTTCCTCTCTGCTGTCAGCATGGCATTGTCTCTTAGAACCGCACGGTCCAGCCTCTTTTGGATGCATTCAGTAGCAACCTGTAAGCAGGCCCAGCTGCACAGTAAGTAGCGATGAATTGTAGAAGTCCTGTATTAAAATTTGTTCTTTGAGAGCCTCTGTCCTGTACTGTTTAAAGTAATGGAAGCATGGAAGTGACTTTTCTGTTTGAACACAGTGAAGCCTGATAGTCTGTGGTCTCTGCTAATAATCAAAGGACGTCCTGATCTGTTTTTTTTTTTCCTTTTGAAGCTTTCATGGTTCATATAGGATATTCCTCTAACTTATTAGCTTGTAAATACCACCCCTCTTACCACTGATTATCATTGAAGATTTAAATTTATTTTTTTAGACTTACAAAAAGTGGTGAGAAAAGGCTACAGTAAAATCTCATTACTTAACATAAACATTATAAGAATAAGTAGAAACAGACAGTACTATTTCTTAGATTTTTGTCTATGTTTTAGTTGTCAATAGAAAGACATAGGAGAGATAGTAAAGGTGGTAGAAAAGACAGTAATTGAGTAAATATAATGGACATGTTACATTTTAGAGGTTAGTGGGCAAGGAAGGGAAAGAAATCTTAGGAAGAAATGCAAACTATTTACAATTTACCAGAACTCAACTTCTCCATAACTAGGATAACTTAATAACTTGTGGAAGGCAAGATGCCTATAGCATGATTCCTACGTAAGGGACCGTTACTGTTTAATACTTTACGCTAGGTTTGCATTTGGACTCTGATCTTAAAAGTGTTTTCCAATCTAAATGATTCTGTGATTCTATAAAAAAATGTAAATCAAACTGTGAGTAAGGAACTTTGAGTGATTTGTGGTCCAAGCTCCTCCTTAAAGCAGGGTCAGTTCTGCAAACACATTGGGTTGCTCAGGGCTTGCTGAGTCTTTGAATTCTCCAAGGACAGAGACTGCACAAACCTGCTGTGCTCCAGTCCCACTGTTGGCTGTCCTCATGAGGAAAGCATTTCTCTGCATATCCAGTCAGAGCCCCTGATTTTGATAATAATGTTGCTATGAATGAAATTATGATCTTCCCTCTAAGTCATATGGTAATGTTCTTTGCATATATATATATATATATAAAGAATATTCTCTAATAACTTTGTAGCTATTTTGTTCATACTGTGATTTTTCTTAGGAAAACAATACAATTGGAAAGGTAGGTATAGGTCATAGGTACCTGGATACTGTGGGTTTTTTGATTGCATTAGAAATCTGTGTAGTAAAGTGAATTTCTATTTAGACAGCATTTCGGTTTTGTTAATCTAGACCTGTGTAGGATTATAATCCTGATTAGGACTTGAAACAGAATGAAAATTGAAAATATAAACATTCTTAAATGGGCACAGCTCTGCTTGATTTTACATCAGCGTTCCTTACTTGGGTTCTTGTTGCAGAAGGAGCTGTGTATCATGCTTGCCATAAATCTACATACTCAGTTCTCCCTGAAGACTACAACTGGTATGTAAACATGCTTTGATGTGTGGCCTTTTCATGTAATGCGTATTCCAGGGCTACTTTCTCTGTCATGAAGTTGTCGTATAATGCTGTCATTTTCTGCCAGTATTGGATATATGTCATAATTTTAGCTAAAGTACTGGTTCCAATAGTAATAATGATAGTGAAGTTAATATTTCAAAAAATAAGTGTAATGAAAAATGACACAGGACCCTTTCTGATGATATCAATGACATCAGCATGTTGATGACCCTCGGTACCCCTGCAGTTTTGCTTGCAAAAGAGCAAAAGTAGCTTAGAATAGTCATTTCCATTGGTTCTCATTGTTAAGACAAAGTCCCAGTATATTTGTGCTGCTGCATGGGAAACTTGTGTAGAAATGGGAAAAGATGATACAAATATAGTGAGAAACACAGAATCCATGTCATCCATGGTTTTAGGAAGCTTAATGTGTCATGGAAAGGGGAAGGAAGGTGACAAAAGCCATATTCCTACAAAGAAATTCTCAGTAGGACATCTTGTTCATCATCTTTTACCAAATAAAGAAGTTGGAACCCCAAACAGAGCTTTCTTTCCAATTTTTTCATTGTAGGTGCCATATTTCTTATAAAGGCATGTTGTCTTAGAGGTCATTATCCCCATCTGTTTAGAGTTGTATATGCAACTATTAAAGTATTAAAGACTTCTTGTCCAACCCATATTTCCAGCTTTTTTTAATACTTTCTTTAGCTCTTTTTTCCTCTCCATTCACAAAGAAAGATGAAGATGACTGGGGGAACAAAATATTGGAAGTTCAGATCAAATACTTGTGACCCTTATTTTATATAGAAGATTATTAAGAATTCATAAATGCAGGGTCAAATCCAGTTTTCTTTAGGACTTGGGCTGCTCAGTTGTTCAGCATTTCTGAAAAATATAAGTTTGTTTTATTTTCATAGCAAAGTGGAACTTGCAGTGACATCAGATTTGAAGACAATTGTCTGCTACCACCCTTCGCTTGAGATTCCATATGAGCATACAAAAGTATGTGTAAATGTACACATTTATATTTCTTACTCTTGTAAAGGCATTTATTAGTTCATAGGTTTGAGTCCTTAGGGCATCTTTTTTAATTTGAAATACTGAGATACTTTTTAGTATGTGATCAACATATCTATGAAGTAAGTGAATGATGAATACAGCTGCCGCCACAAGGAGGAGCTTAGTTGAATTGAGGGAAAGTTGCAGAGTAAGAAAAACTCAGATATCACAGCACATAGTAACTCAAATAGAATTAAACAGGGCACTCAAATACTTGGGCACTGCAGAGAAAACTAGTGTCTGTCTATGAACTACTCAGAGAGGATGTTCAGAATGCAGGTTATAGTACACATGTCTGACTGCACAGATGCCTCTTGTCTGGGCAAGAGGATATAAAGAAATGCTGCCTCTACTGTTTTCAACTCAAATTTTAGATTCCATTCAGCACTCTTGAGTTCTTAAAAGCCAAAAAAACCTTTAAATAGTGATTTTTATCTATCAGTAGTACTTTGAGTGTGTTCTTTACATTGATGAAAGTAAGTCTAGTGTTGTGATTTAACATCTAGATAAACTTTTCTAGTGTACACTTCTTGTTTGAACTTCCAGTTCTCATGTGCTAGTAAAATACTGCATCTGGTAGCCATGTTGCTGAAGTACCCAATGTGACAATTCTCCATTGAAACTTAAAACCTTTTAGCACTCTTTGCCTGCAAGTTATATATTGGTATTTTTAAATCTGTCAGTTGCATGTTCCTCAGGAATAACAGGTGTAAAAGACTGAAACAAGGAAAAATATTTGTAATAGTGCTAGTAGTTAGGTTTCCAGTTGAAAACAAACAACTTTGTCTTAGCTGGTGCATAAAAATTAGGAAGTGACATTCTTCTCAAAGGTACACATCAGCTAAAAGCTTTTTAGCAACAATGATTGTCACTATGAATAAATTTCTAATTAGGAATAATATGGATACTTCTGTATTAGTAGAACTGAAGCTTATGATTCAGCTAGTTAATTGTAAGAATGAGATCAGTAATAATGATGACAAGAATGCTGGTGTTAGGGGTAGGGTAATCAGCTGGAGCACCTGGGGTAATTAGATATTTCTAGACATGCTCCACAGTGGTGTGGTTTCATTTGGGATGGGCAGGCAGGGGCGGTAAGCAGCTTGTACAATTGCAGGCATTTTTCTGTATTCCTTTGGTTTCAGTTGTTAGACAGCATTACAGTTTACTCTTATGTAGCCTGGCTTTTTTACTTTCTCAAAAAAAAGAGAAAAAGGACATACTTATACATTACTGTTTTTATAGCCCATACCACGGCCAGATCCAGTGAATAATAAAGAAGAAAACCTTGATCAAGTTTTGAAATCTAGATTGAATGAAAAAGAGCTAAAGAACAAAAGAGGTCCTACAATTGAAGAGCTCAGCAAAATGTTTTACACAACTAAACATCGCTGGTATCCTGTGGGACAGTAAGTATTTTCTTTTCAATGTTTGTTCCTTTTGGCAGTAAAGGGAAATACAGGAATAATTTAATGACCAGATTCAATCTAGGATGAGTCATGTGAGACAAGATATGTGGACTGTTACATAAAATTTTAAATGCAATGTAGTGTAAATGGAAGACTGTATTTCATGAGGGCTTTTTAACACTGCCCCTTTGTTTGATAGCCTTTGCCACTTTTGTCACAGTGTTGAAATTTCTCATACCATCTAGTTAGCTACTGGTTTGGGTCATTTATTAAAGTTACATAACAGAATCTAGTATGTAAAATACCCTCAATGGACGTAACCAAATACAGCTTGGAAACATGCATTGTCTATTCCTTAACAACTTTTCCGAAAAAAGCCCTCAATGGGATGATTCTCAGACTTCAGAGCAGTAGAGGTTTTTCATTTGAAATGGTGAAAACTGCACCTTGGTGTGCCTTGTATTCAGAAATTGAGGAAGAAAGTTGCAAATATGCATGACTGAGCTTAAAGAAGAACTATGTACATTCAGATATACTAATGGAAACAAGCAGCATTCTGGTTTGTGCTACTCCTTTCCAGTCCATCTTACTACATATTTTGGTAGCTGCTAATTTTATAACTATGAAGACATAACACACACAAATTTCTTTGGGTTTATTGTCTGCAGAAAACTGTAATTAATGTGCTTTGGGAGTAGGTATAAGGAATGGAATGGTAGGACTTTCATGACCAAAGGGTAGCTGTCACTTTAATGAGGATCAAACAGGATCTATCTTGTTTTAGGGTGCATAATTAAGAGGAAAATATGCATCAGTTTTTGTTGTTAAGAATTTGTTTTTCAGTCTGTCTGTAAAATACTACACTATTTAACACACAGTCTGGCACAACTCCTTTAAACATCAGGTGTCTGTTCTATAGCAAACATTTTAGCCAAAGGGAAAGCTGACCATGTAATAAAATTAACTTCACACAAAGGATTAAGAATAAACAGCAGCCTTTGTGGCTATTCAGCTGTAGAACTGATTGGATTATTGTGTGCTTGTAGCAGATGTAGCAATAGAAATGAGTAGCGTTATGTAATTCCACAAACAACAGAGATGACATCTACTGAGTGGTGATGGGTAGTGCTTGTGTATCTTGTGTTTTGCTTACATGTGTAACCTCAGATCACTTATTAGGGGCAAAAATATCAGGAAAATAAAGACTGTCCACAGTCTTTGCATTCATTGCACCCTTTTTTTTCTTCTAGGTATCACAGAAGACGCAAGAATCCTAATCCTCCCAAAGACCGATAATTAAGATAATTTCTTGATCATCAGCACTTTGCTGTTAATCTTTATTAGAAATAAAAATTACAGAAAGTGAGATGTTTGGCTATAACAAAACATGCTTAACTTAATTTGACTGTTATTTTCTACTTCAACTAGTTGACAGAAGAATGGCACTGATGAGACAGAGCATCTGTGAAGGCAGTTGTGCATGTGCCTAGTCAGCACATGGGCCAGTTTTAGAATGGAGAACAGGATGTAACAGGCCATGGAGTGCTCTGACTAAACTTGGTCACAGCCTCATTGTTTATAAAGTGAATCCATACAAGTCTTGTGTCAAAATGGAAAGTCTAGAAATGGACACATTACGGTTTGGTGGTTTGCTGGGGGTAATAATTTTTTTTCTTCTTTAGAAATCTAGTAACGTAAATACAGGTGAGCTTGAATACTGAGGTATTAATAAAAGAGTGTTTATGAAAAATACTGTATGAGGTATTTATGAAAACAAATTGTTCTGCTTCTTCTGTTACACTTTTAAGATACCTGGTTCCATGTTTGATTCTACATCGGCCAAGAAATTATATCTAAGGCTATTGTTGTGTACTGGAAACTGGCCAACTTGGTTTTAATTTTTAGCATCCATAGAATCATAGAATTATCGTAGAATCAACTGGGTTGGAAAAGACCTGAGATCATCAAGTCCAAGCCTTGATCCAACACTGCCATGGTTACTAGACCATGGCACTAAGTGTCACATCCAGTCTCATCTTAAAAACCTCCAGGGATGGTGAATCCACCACCTCCCTGGGCAGCCCATTCCAATGTCAGATTACTCTCTCTCTAAAAAATTTCTTCCTGATATCCAACCTAAACCTCCTCTGGCACAGCTTAAGCCTGTGCCCTCTTGTCCTTCTGCTGGTTGCCTGGGAGAAGAGACCGACACCCACCTGGCTACAACCTCCTTTCAGGGAGTTGTAGAGTGTGACAAGACATAGTAACTCGTCCTTCAAAATCACCCAGTGTTCCCAAATACCTGAGAACTTCTGTGTGCATTTGTGATTCATGGGCAGTTTTTTGTTTGTTTAATTCCCACCTACTCCTCAGTGAGGATGCTACAGCTATTCCAATTTATATATGAAGTTCTTTGTGTCTGCAAGGTAATCAGTGAAGACTCCCAGCTCTTTGTAGCTTACTTAGGAGGAAGGATTGACCCTTTATTATATAAAATGCTTTAAATTAAAGAAATTTGGTCTGATTCTACCTCATTGCTTTAGCATTTTGTAGTGCTTAAATGTTCCTGCTCTTGTAATATTCTATGTCATCTAGCATTTTTTCCCTCAGGAAAAGGCAATTCTTTGTTCCAATTTACAGTTTTAGGCATTGGCCTTCTGATAAAAAGGGCTGGCTTGTAACGTTGTGCCTCTGCAGAGATCCCAGTGACTTCATAAAGCCTTCTTAGCAGATCCTAGTAAATAACCAGAAAATAGTTACTTCTCATACAGGATACATTTTTATTGCATTTCTTTTCCAAAGCAAGTTGGATAACCTAAGAAGGTTTTTGTTTCCTCTGTTAGTTTAGTTCCATTTTGCCAGCATGTATTATCTACAGATTTTGCTAGAAGTTGAGTACTGTATGGAGCCTCTAATCTTGGTCATTGTTAGTTTCTAAAGTTATCACTAAATCACCTTTTTTTCCTTGAATGTCCTTAAATTGTGAAAAAAGCGATGTTGGGTGTGTGTAAAAAGACTGCCTTTAAATACTTCCGGAAAATTTTATGTAAAGCTAGTCTGAGTGCATTTTTAAATCTGAATGCTTGGTAGCTGATAATGGTTTTTCATTGCTCTGTTGTGCTTGTAAGATATGAGTCCATGCTTAAGCCAACATCAGCCAAGTGATTTTGGCTCCATATTAATGATGTGTTACATAACAAACATGCTGTTGTGGAGGAATATCTGTAGTGTCTGTGGAAAGGATGTCTGTTTAACTCTGCAAGTTTGATCACATGAACATAATTGTGGGGTTTTTTCTGCCTAGAATATAACATTTAAAATAGTTTGTAGTAATTTCTAGTACAACAAATTTTAGTATTTTCATCAATTCATGGTGCCTGGTACTGACACTGGCACATAACTGAGATGACATCTCTTGTAGTGTTTTGTTATGTTCCACAGCTTAACTGCATTGAGTCCCCTTTATTTTTAGAAAGCTGAGACCTAATTTGTCACCATTTGACTTCACTCCAGTGTAAGAAAAAATATTCTTGGACTAATTTAAACTTTCAGTTATTTCCTCCCCCCCTTTTCTCCAATACTTTTGCTTATTGCTGCCTAATACTGCTAAGACATTTTGCTTTACAGAGATCTTCTGTTATGGCATTTGTCTGTTCATGGCTAACCCTGTTTATGATCAAACATCTACAATCAGCGTAGAAATACTGGATTTCTCAATGTTTCCCAAACATTTTTGGATGCTTTTCAGGCATTTTGAGGGCTAAAAATCTATTATGTACTTGATTCCTATCTTTAAAGTACTTTCTCTTCTGACCAGTTACTGGAAACTAAGTCTAAAACATATGTTCACTACATATGTCCTCTGACATTTTGTTATTAATTCATAACACTGATGTTTTATCCCTGCATTGCGCTGCCTCTTTCAATATTTCTCTGTTTGCTTCTACTAAATCTTTTTCTGGGGTCATCTGAAGCATGACATAATTAAAATACTACTCTCACAGTAATTTGAAGCTCTCTTCTTGATTTTCTAGGTATCAAACAACTACATAAAGTTATGTTTTCTTCACTTGAAAACTTAGAATTCAAAATTCATCCACTTGATTCTTGTCCCACTTCTGTGCAAAAGGAAATCCATTTGAAAGTTAGTTTGGGACTTCTGTTTTCTGTTGCTCTTGTCCCTTGGAATTGAAAACTTAAGTTGCATAAAATTCACAATGTTAAGTCTACTCTGGCACTTTATTTGCAATTTGGGGCACTTACCTTTTTAGACTGTGTATCTAGTAGCTGTTAAGTGTTCCAGACCATGTTAGTTCATTGCTGTGGATAGTATACAGTTGGGTACATCTTACTGATTGATTTTTGGTTTTTAAATGTCTCACTAAAAGTCTCCTCAGGCCTTGTTTGCCTGCATGCCTTTAGAAAACTCTGTTTCAGTCAATTATCAAAAATCTTGTCCATAATTCAGGGTATCACAGAATTATTAGGGTTGGAAGGGACCTCTGGAGACCATCCAGTCCAACCCCCCCACCAGGCAGGGTCACCTAAGAGCAGGTGACACAGAAATGCATCCAGATGGGTTTTGATGGTCCCTCCAGAGAGGGAGACTCCATGACCTTCCTGGGCAGCCTGGTGCAGTGCTCTAGAACAGGAATTCCCAACATTTAAATCGCAGTTCGATTTATCGTGATGCCCTCATGAAAAGAATTCTTTTCACTGCCCCTAGTAGTTAGCCCTGAATGAAAAACGGAAGATGCTTTTAAGACGGGCCTTTTCTGTGCGCCACTGCTGTTTTGCAGATTCTGGGTACCACCACCAGGAGGCAGCCTTGTCCAGGAACGGGACGATCTGTCAGAGATCCTCGAGGACTTGGCTGTGTGGTCAAATTTAACCAAGAGACGGCCGTAAGCTGCAGTTCGTTACTTAAATTTGTAAGTACTTCAGAAAAAGGAGCTCCGAAGCAGGTCCAAAAGTGGTTGGATTTAAAGGGTCAAAGGTTCTTATGTGGGGCTTGCCTGTTTGCTTTTAACTTTTGTAAGGTGTCTCAGAGATATATGTTCATGTTTAAACCAAAAAAGCTCCACCCTCCCAGTTTGGGAAAAAATGAGTCGACAGTCGAGCATGTGACAAGTGTCATGTCTTTATATATATTTCAGTTCCTCATGACTACAATGGAGGCAGCAGTTACACATCCACCCGTCCCTCCCTCCCCACCCTTCCAGCTATTCAGTCCTGTAGGAAAGTTCTCTTCTCGTCCGTTGCTGTTGTATTGGGTCTGAACTTCATCTGTCATGTCCAAGTTCTGTTGTACCAGAGTAAATCGTTGTGGCAGGTCCATTATAAGTCACAGTACTGACTGCTGTTTAAAGCCAGCACTGCATTTCTCAGTTACTTCAGTCTTTATGAATTTTAGCAGCTCCTCTGCTGTAATTTCTCATGTGCTCATTCCATCCTCAAAACCAATACAAATCGTGCACCCACAATACATAAAAGTTGGATTTATCTCCAGGATTGAGACAGCTACTAATTGGACATCAAAGCCTGAGTTAATCTTCGTAGGCTCCCCTTATAGTCAATTGACATGGAAAAAATACCTACACAAGGCAGTCGATCTTATTTAAAAATTTTATTGTATAAACTGTGTCACACAGTTGTTCTCTGGAGGTGCATTTTCCTTCTCTGTGAAGGGAGGATGAAGATGAGATTCAGATGTCTGTATTGGGGCAAATGAAAGCAGTCTTACATTATTTTTTTTTTAATTTAGGAGAGTATCTATGTAAAAGGAAAATACTTCTCTTAAAATTTGAATAGAACTATTTTTGCTGTTTCTGCTAGCCTTCAACAGTGTGTAGCCCATATATAGGAAATCTTGCTTTTCTATACAGAGTAATTCACACACATTTAATTTGTCATTTTGAATAAATTGTGTGTAGGTTTTTAATCTCACCTCATATTTAATCAACCCTCCAATGCTAAAAGATAATAATTAAGCTATTTTGTTTGTTTCACTCAGTGTGTAGTCACAGGAGAAATAAGATATGTATCTTAGTAGCACCTCTTCTAAAATGAGCTCATGATTGCAACTGTTACCTCAAGGTACTTCTAGAAAAATTACAAAATAAATTATGGTTTACTGAGCAATTTGCTCAGAATTATCTGAAAATTTAGATACAGTTGACAAAGATTGTTAGTTCCACTGTATATAATGACAGCAGCTGGGACACTGCAGATCAGACAGTGGGAGCAATGTGGAAGCTGCGTGAACTAAACAGCATGTTTGGCCAGCAATTTTCCATTGCATGGCTTCTGGAGAAGTAAAAGTTTATGGCCACTTTATTAAATGATGTAGGTGAGAAGTGATAATCAATGTATCACAAAGTTTTTCATCACCTAAAGGCACCTCAAGAGGTTGGAATGGCCAGTAGAACTGAGAAACTTTGCCAACTGCTCTTTATGAAAAATAAGTAATACATACAGAAAACAATTGTTCTAATATTCAGCTTTACTGCTTCTCAAGATGAAAAACAGTCTCAGGTCAGAGGTGGTTTACCTTTTTAAATAAGGCCAGTTTTGACAACTACTCAAGTTTACAATTCCTCAGCAAAAGAATGTCCCTAACCAGCAAAATATGAGATATTAAAAAAAAGAGAAATTCTGGAAGAGCTGTTTTTTAGCATCTTTTCTGCTACAATTAATAAAATTCTAATCATGTAAGTACCACAAAAAAATTCAATGAACAGTGAAAAGTGATTGTTGAATTAGGCTACTGCATTAAGCTATTACCATGTAGAATAAAGTTTAACTTTAGTAACAGATTAAACTATTAAAGCAGGACGCTACTGTACAAACATGTATTTCCTACTCACTAATGGTAACAAAACAGAGCTTAACAGTTTCAAGCAAAGATCAGTGTTTCTTAAACACTGCTAGTCATTAGCACTAAGTTTTCTAAACGCTGCTAAAGTTTCTTAAACACTGCAAGTTTCTCATTCAAATATGTTTTATTTGTTTAAACAAATAATAAGCCAAGTAGCATTTTTCTGAAGTTAACATTAGCAGGAGTTACACTGCATCAGAACTGTGCTGCAGTAGTGATCCTCACCATCTGCTTTAGTTAAGACATATTGATGATTTCAATTGAATAATTGAGGAAAAAATTTTCCTTGACCCCTAGTTAGTTAACATTTGGTTGGTATAAGTAGCATAAGGCTTCATATCCTTCTTTTTAAATTTATTTTCTAATTTTTAATCCTAACCTATTTTCAGTAGGGGTTCACTTGTTATTTTTCAATAATAGATGTTTATAGAACTCCCTTCCCCGCATGCTATTTTTCATACAGTTAAAATCCTGGCATTAGTGATGGGGAAACTGAGGTTGGCAGTGAGTTCCACAAAATTTAGAATTTTAAGAAAAAGGATTTCCTATCCAGAGTAGAAGACCAGTGCAAGCAAAATTCATGGGGAGTTTACCATAAGCAGAGGTGAGAAAAATGGCAGAGAAATTCCCTTTCTAGAGCATATATTTGTACCAAATCTACTAAAATAAACATGCTGTATCTTGGCTGCATGGGTTACAATTCATGGAATTTATGTGGCCATATTTGTTGAAGAAAGATTTGAAGTGAACCCAAAGAGGCCACTTGTAAGGCACACAATGGCCTGTAAAGAGAAGAGTGGTTAGTACCTATACAATGCTTAGCCAGTCCTTGTCCAGTGCAAGGACAAAAGCTTGAATTGCTGGAACATGGTCAGTGTTTTGTTTCAATATGACCAAGATTTTAACACATGACTTTGTGGAAATGACACAGGAAATACAGTGATGCCTTTATCCTGCAGTCAAAACACCTGTCTGTGCTTTACCACGCTGAGGTGGCTCCAGCAGCAGGCAGATGTTTGGGATCCCTCTGAGCTCAAGCCCCGGCTGCTGCTCCCCACAACTCATTACCTCCCCATGTTCCGCCAAGCCCTCTTTCAAGCAATGGCTGCCCACTGCTGCAGGGAGAGTCTGCACCAAGCACTGCTCCTGATATCACATCTTGTTTGGCTTCACACTGCCTGCTCTTCTAAACTGCTCAAGCTGTGCACCCTCAAACGCGACCACATGCCAAAACATATAACACCCTCCTTCACTTTCATGCTAGGAAAGCACCCTTCTCACAGCCTGTAATACAGCTTCAAGTAATTTCAGATACTTCAAATTATCTAAAAAGATAACACAAAAAAATCAGTATGGATCTATAGGGGCACCAGAAAGAGTCAAAGGAGGACTGTGGGATGTGAATATGGGAGTCTGCTCAAGAGGGAACTAGCCCCAGCTAATGTGAATATAAGCCATATATGTTCCCCTTATATTCCCAATATAAGTCCTTCTTAACATCAGGGACTTTTTTTTAATTATTACTTAGAAATACAAGTATGCCCTCTGAAATCAGGTAGTGTGAACCCACAGCATTTTTGCAGATTACCTGAGCTTAGACTGCCTTTGTTCAGAGTACCAAGTGTGAATGAGTCTAGCACAGGCTTATACAAACACACAAAACCAGCAACTCACACGCATAATTACTGTTCTCTAAACAACCTGAGTCGTGAAGATTCTCCAGTCCAGTTCACAGATGCCCCTGTTGAGACTCCTGTAAAATTAAAAGGATTTTTCTTCTGAATAAAAAAATATACAGAGAAGAAAGCGCAACTTCAAACAAAATCTGGATTTAAGAGCAAGCATCTTCTTACACAGTCCATGTTGGAGTAAATGAACCATACCAAAGGCCAGTAAATGTCAATGTTCTGTAATTTTCAGCCTTCAGAGGATCAAAGAAATCTAAAGAAGTGGTTCAAGTTGAGACATAAAATAATGAGGTGGAAAGCTTTCAAAGTTTTCTGGAGAAAAAACCCCACAGTAATTGGACATAATTCTTAAAATCTTCGTTTAGGCATTACTAAATAAAAATGCTGTTTCCTTTTCTGAGCTAATAAAATGTCAACAAAAGAAAATCATGGTATAAAAACCAAAGAGCTGTTTTTCAGTTATTTTCAGGACATAAGAGGTTTGTTTATTCAAAAATCTGTGACACTAGCAAATAAGCTGTTCACTTTAAACAGTTTGACAGGTGTTGTTTTGGTTTTTGTTTGGGGTTTTTTTTCATTTTCAGCTGTACTTGTACAATAAATTAATTTTGCTAGAAATACACTACCAGTTCAGCACAGATTTTTTTTTTTAACAATTAATTACCTCACCTGGCATACTTTTGTTGCCTTAGAGCAGCCCAAGGAACTGATCTTGAAAATGCCCAAGGACATTAAAAGATAAGCTTCAGTCGATTGTGGAAGGATAACTTAGAACCCTAACTGATCAGTCATTTGGGGAATTTCATTGTTGTTGCTTCACCTCTTCAATCAGCCAGTCCAAAGGGATCTCATTAACATCTCACTAGTACCTCTAAGTGGGAATTTTGACTAGATTGTCACAGCTTCCAGAAATAATCTATTTTTAAGTGCTAAGTATATAAATGCAAATTGAGTGGAAACAGCTGTTATTTACATTCTGTGGACACGTGATTTCAGTCCCTGATGCACAGGGGAAGAAAAAAAGCCACTGAAAGACTGAAATGCCATTAAAGAAAATGGAAAAATAGGGATCTAATAAAAATACATGCAATGGACCATATTGTCAGGTGGCATAAATTGGTAAAGCTTTACAGGTTTGCCACCACAACATTATATAGCCCACCTGCCAGGAGGATGTGAAGAGCTCCATGTATTTCTTGGAGAAAGTGGGGGGAGGAGTTGAAAGAATGAATACACTAAAACAAAAGCATACGAACAAATTCATGTTTCAGCCTTTTATGCAGTGGCTAACAGAGAACCAGGCGTTTTCAGAAACAGTCTCACAGAACAAAGCCCCCATTCACAACAAGATTTTGCTATGGACTTATGTTAGTTTGAGATTATGTTCTGGAAAAATTACAAAAGCTTCTGAAAAATGTAAGCAGCATATTCTAGACCAGTGTGCCTGAAAGTAGAGGGCTGCGCTGGAGAGAAAAGGAAGCACAGTGTGAAATTTCCCCCTTTCAATGAACCCGAGCTTTTTATGAGCCTGGCAGAGGCCCCCCTGTGTGTCCTCTCAACATGGCCCCCTTCAGTTACCTGGAGCAGATCCCTGCTGTCATGTGTTCCACTGGAAAGCTCATGCTCCCTCCTGCCACGCCTGCTTCTATCTGTAACATCACCAACAACCACTTAGAGTAGAAAGAAGTAACAGACTGTCCTCAGAAAAGGTTAGGCATGTTAAAAAACGTACACAAAACACGGCTGCTAATTTCATTTGGACCAAACCCACTCAGTCAAATAAGCAAGAAGAACGTGGGCCGGGGAATTAAAAGTGGGATTTTTTTGCTGGGATTTTTTTCCTTACAGAAGGAAAAGGATTTGACATACTCAGCCCAGTTAAAGCTCAAGCACCACAGAAACATTGATTCTTAAGTGCCTGTTGAGTGATTCCCTCCACGATTAGTTCTGTTTGACTTAGGATGCTTTGTGCCTGCCAGCACACAAAACCTGTCATAACACAGGGAAAGGTGGAACAGAAATTTCATTCTCGTTCCATTTCAGATACACTCTTGCCTGCTGTTCTGTCCTACGCAAACAATATCTCCAATGTCTAAATGCATCCTTTAGTTCCTTCCCAGAAAAGACTGATCTACAGCAGCAGGTTTTGCAGCTTCCTTCCATCTAGCATTATGTGGCATGAAATGCTGGGGAAAAATTCTACTGTGCCTCAGGCATCTTTCTGGATCAAATCTATTCACAGAGGGATAATTTATCAGAGAAGTGAGCTCTGAAGAGACTACTAAATATAATGTTAAAATTTTGAAATACAGGGCAATGGCACTGAAAGTCAGAAAACATGTCTAGCCCAAGCTCACACTTCATAAAAGGCTTTGAATATTTTGTAATAATTATGGATATTATTTCCCCTCCTCTGTTCATTTATAAAGACAGAGATAATAACAAATTTCAGCAAGTCTGAGTTTGGTTACACCGAGCCATCTGTTAATTCTGGTATATGGCAGTAGAGGGCATCTAAGGACTTCAAGTCACATATGGTAAGGGATTAAAATCAGATGGCTGAAGGAGTTAGTTCACCCCACCCCGTGACAACTTGCCACCTCACAACCAAACAGCTCTCAAAGCTGCTCCTGAATGATGGTAATTTTGAGCCATGCTGAAACTGAAGTTGATCTTAACACACCAGACTGAAAGCTGAAGTTGTTTAGGAGGAGATGCAGGAGTTAATTTTTCTTTCCTGCTGGAAGTGTTGGTCTGTCAGAGCCACAGGAAGGATGGTTTCAGACACAGTACAGGGGGAGATAGTAACTGCCTCAAGCAGTCTATCCAATTTTATCTACTATTGTTTGAGCTTTAATTTCCACATACCTGGCAAAACTGCTTCCAGGAGCAGCAAGCAATTCTGGGAATGACAGGCCATACCAAGAGAAGGCAAGCTGTGGACCAATGCTCTTTACTTAACCAGAAAGAGTAGACCTATGTCTACTTCCTCTGTTGAGCCTAAAAAATGCCAATCTCTCTATCTGTGCTTCAGTTTACATCCTCCCAACATGCTAATCAGTTATAGAACAATGCCTTGAGCCATCCTAACAAAAATCAAGCATGAATCCTGACAAATATAGAGAAGGTAGTTAGTTGGCAGCTAGCACTGTTTTCTCGTCATCTGTCCAGGTTTGTATGACATTCCACATCCAGCCTCTCTCTGTACTGAAGCAGAGAAAGCAGCCATGCCTATCTGGAGCCGAAAGAAGCCAACACATCAGAGGCAGGTTAAGTTCATTACCTGACATTAGCACTTAATGCACTAATTTGAAAAATGTATTTGAGCCCGGCAGCATATTCACATACCATGGGCAACATATTTTCAATTAACTATAAGAAGTTTAAAATTATATAAACACATTAGTAAACGCTGATTAGCCTGTTATTCAAACTTCTAATACAGCAACACAGCAGGCCTTATGCTGAAGTCTATTATAGCCTTAACCTGAAATTTAAAAGTGGCTCATGCCCAGGAAAAGGTTCTACAACTCATTTAATGATCCACAGCACTCCTGAAATGATATTCATGTGTCTGCTCTCCATGGCAGCACTTTCAATCATAAACACTTAATTGCAGGAATTCATCCACAAGGCCAAATAGTTCTGTGTGAATTAAACCATCTTTAATATAAGAACTAGAACAGTGATTTTAAAATAATCTTTTTCTGATGGGAGGCCATTTATTCACAGACATATAACCCAATTTCTTCTTCATCTTCATTTTCCTTTGTACTCAAAAATCTCCCCTTCGGAGATAGCCACTTCATCACCTGTTTTGGTTTTCCTTATTAGTTTCAGAACTGACTCTTTGCCAACAAAGGAACTTTAATTGCTTAAGGATTGGCCGAGCACAGCAGAGCTGCCTTCATGCCGTCTGTCAGGAAAACTTTTTTCACAGACATTACTTGCTCTCTTTTACTTTGGGAAGTAGGACTTGCAACTGGCAAGAAAACAGCTCAAGCCTCCTCAGTCTTAAAAGGCTTGTTTTTTCTGGCAGCATCTAGAACAAGAATGCAAGATATCACAGTGCTTTCAGCTGTGCTATCTCTAGGATTTTTCTAAAACAAAGAGTGTATGTTTCTCTAAAAATCCAGAACTTCAAAGAGCGTGTTTCTGAACATGCGTATGTATAGGTGTATGTGTATATATACACCTATATGCTCTTTCTCAGCCAAAAGAACAAGGTAAATAAATATTACAGTCACAGCATCTTATACTGTGACTGTAGCGTATATTCTCCTAGTAGTTGTTTGAAATGAGTGTACCAAAATGGTCCTTTCCAGCAGTCTTTTTTTTCCTTTTTTTCTACTTACAGCTTATCCTTCAGTAACTGCCAGCAATATTTAGCTAGTCTTAGTCAGAGTGAAATTGGATAATTCACAAAATAACAAAGTAATAGACCAGAATTCTGCTGTTTATAAAGAAGCAAGAAGCCTAACACAGTATAAAGTGAAAAATGCTGTGTAAATTATCTTTTTTTTTGTATTTAGTACCCTGTGTCACCACATTCTACTTTTCCTTTACAAGTCCATCCAAATTACTTTCAGTTATTTTGGTTTTACTTAAAATTGTAAATAGCAGAAAAACTAAGAAAGCACTACATTTAATTATTTTCACTGAAGATCCTAAGTGTGTCTAGATAACCTCTTACTCACTGCAGTTGAGGCCTTTAGTTTTAAACAGTAGACAGCACATGATGAGGTGAGAGCTGGACTTAAATGCCACCTTTTTCTGGTCAGTTCCATGCTTGTCACTGGTTATTTACCTATCCACTGAACCAAAGGAAATGATCCTTTGTTATCTCCACGGTCTCTGAAAGAAAAGAATCTGGATGTTATTTCAAAGTACTGCTCTTGTAGTGCCATCTCTTGATGGTTTGCTTTTAAATTAAAAGTGCTGATTTTCTTTTAGAGCACCCCTGATTCATAGAAATTATTCACTGAATTTTTTGTTATTCTCCTTCACCAAATGCATATTCTCAAGAAAGACAAAGCATTCACATCTGAAGAGATAAAAATGGCAGTAAATAAGGTGGCACCTGGTAAGTAGTAAAATTATCTGGTATAAATCATAATTTATTTCATCAAAACATTCTATTCCTCAGGAAGCTGGAAAGAGCAGGGTGATCCCATTTAGGAAAATACTTGCTTTCTCTATCCTTTATTTATTATGTTTTAGGAACTCTTTGTGAAATAGGCAAACCTTCCTCCTGACTGCTAAGTGAGAAATTCTCTAAGTTCACATTGCAGACCTTGTTTGTGGTGTAGAGCTATAGTTAACTCATTCCAATTTGCTTGAACTAAAGGCTCAATATTCATATTTCTCTGCTCGAGAACCAGACTGTAATCCACAGAGAGGGAGGAACCGTGGCAGTTGTACACTGTTATTTAGATCAGTTCAGGTAAACAGTTGTCAAAATATGGTCAATAAGAAGAAGTGTGTCATATGCCATAGCTGGCCTTTAAACTAAAGGGGATTTTTTCCCGACCAAATGGTATGTCATAGATAATGGATATTCTATGCTGCAAAATTGGGAAGTAGAGATGTAGACAGCAAGGAAAGGCCCCTTGTATTCTTCCAGGTAGCTAGATAAATCTAGCTTAATAAATCAGTAAGTCTTTTCAGCATATCAGAGCAAATTCAGCAAAATCAGCTGGGTCAAAAACACATTACCCCCTCCTCTGCTTATATCATATTATATAAATAAATCACTATGCTAGCTCTCCAGTAAATTTGGCATACTTTTCAGGAACAAAGTGAAAATAATTTCTAGCAACAGGCATTTTACAGGACTGTAAAAATGTTTTTGCCTCCTTCCTTGATCATGAAAGGGATTTTTGCCTAAAGGAAAAATAAAAAATAAATTCACTCATCCCTCCCTGTCTTGGACACATATGTTTGAAATCAAGTCAGGAACAATATATTCTGCTGGTGATTTTCAAGAATTCTTAATGTTCATGTTTTCACTACTAATGTAAAACTCGATTAAATATATCTACAATCTGGATGATATACATTGAGAATCAAAATGTTCAGGAACAGTAGAAAAGATCTGGGAAAAAAAAAATTAGAGATTGCTTAACTTTGTGCCTTTCATCCCCAGTCAGGTGATATGCCTCTAAAACTGACTCAGAAGCATTCATAACTGTATATGTACAGGCAATGTTTGTCCTAGAATTCCTACCCCAAAACACACAGATTAAAAATAAATAAAGCATTGGGTTTGAATTGTACCTAAAAATTTTAAATCTCCATTTGTATATAGTTTTCGTATTTGTGACTGTTTAGAAGAATTACTGTTTGTTATATGGCAAAGTAAAAAAAACTTATTTGGTTTACAGGAAGGAAAGCTAGGTTTTCAGAATCTGCTCCTTTTTCTCCATTTCACATCTTTCTCCTACTCCATTCGAGTTTTTACACAGTAAAACATTTAAGGCAGACCAAGCCTGTATTAAACGTTCTAATGCCAAAGAAGCTCAAAAGTAGCTTTAGGTAGTTTCATGCACTATATATGGCCCAGAGTCCCCAAAGTAATTTAATTTAGTCACCTTTTCTTACCCTTAAAGCTATTTTTTTTCTCCTCTGTGACTGTATGGAAGACTCACATAGATAGAAGAGAAAACCAGCAACTAACATTGTTGAGAGAAACAGTGAAATTCAAACATACTTCAAGGAGCTCATAGCACTTATGGAAGTCTCAAGCCAGAGAATAAAGGTAACTGTGAACCAGAGTACTCTTATGAGGTGCCAATATTGTAATTTAAAGATTGATTTGCAGTTTTTAAGTTTGAGTTTCATTACCCTTGTAAATTTATAAGATATTTAGTGCTGTTTTTAAAAGACAGTAAATTCTCTAGGTAAAAATAATCTAACAGAACTCTGTTTAGGAAAGATTCTGCTGATATACTGCCTATTTAATTTTTATGCTACCTTTTTCATAACAATATCCTAAGTTTTAAGCAACAAATATTTATTATATTCTTCTGTTCTTGTTTCTCATTCACCACATAAATCATGGTCTTCCTCTCTCTGCCTTTATAGCAGCCAGCTGTGGTTTTAGAAACAAATTAATATGACTTCAAGTGATGAATAAACAGCAGAAGCAAAGGAAGTCTTGAGATACTATCCACATACAAATTCCATTAATAACATAACATAGGGAAAGAGAACTACAGCAAAGCTGTAAAAAAGCAGCTTTGCACCTAGCCAAGATGTATTCCATTTCTCCTAGATGTATTAGTGAACTTTAAATAAATAGCCCTAATTTGAACACTATGATATCAAAATAACATGTTTTTGAGCAAAAGCTCTGTGCCTGCATATATGGAATTATTCTAGTAATAAAACCAGATCTGTATTAATTTTTTATTGTTCTTGTGAAAATAGCAAAGCCAGTGCCATTCTGGAAAAATTAATATAAGTTTTATGCAAAATCTCACATCACCGGTAGCTGAACTGTCAACTAAATTTCAAGGAGTACAAATGTATTCTCTCCCCTCTTCACATCTATCCAACAAAAAGTTAGTGGGGATTCTGCAAGAGTCACTGGAGGCTGGATCTGAGGCTATCTGAACTGCACGGACAAAAACAGGAACAAGAATGACCTTCAGGACCTAAATTGTTTTAAACCATTTCTGAGAATGCTTAAGAAAGCCCGTGTTTGTTCCTCAGACCTCATTTTAAATCTGTGCTGCTGCCAGTGATTAAAACCACCTTTTTTCATAAACTGAATAAATTAAATTCGAAAGCACCGAGGCATGACAAAAAGGTGAAACTATATTGACCAATATTTCACTTAACAAAGTAGATTTTTTTCTCAGATGAATCTGCTTAATTACTAAAGATAGCACTTAATTTTTAAGAGAACTATTAACTCTCTTATTCCCTGATGCTTAAGAATTATAAGCAATAGCTGTTACAAAGTCCTTCAGGAACTGTTATTTTTTTTTATTGTTATTATTTTAAAGAAACGTCGAATTACAGGCGTTACTGGGGAGTACGACCCAAGGCAGCGTGTCCCTATGGGAGCTTTCTCCGCGCAGAGGAGGCGCCCCGCTCCCTCAGCCAGGCAGTCCAGCCTAATACATATTCATTTACCACTTTGATAACAAAGGCTCCCTCCCCCCTCCCGGCCTGATTTTTAAGGAGATTATTTCGTACCTTTTTTTTTTTTTCCCTGAGGGCTTCAAAAAGACACCCCTTAATCCTTCTCCCGTCAATTCGCGCTCCCAAACACCGCCGTGCAATTTGCAGGGAGCCCTGACCGGCAGATAAGGGCAGGGATAAAACTACTACGGCTACTTTTCCTTTGTTTCCCCTCTTTTTTTTTTTCCATTTTTTTTTTCTGCATGTGTGTGTGTGTGTACGTGTGTGTGTGTCTTTCTAAAGTTGGCTCGGGGCCGCCCGGGCAGCGGCAGAAGGTGGCTGGTTACTGAGCAGCACCCGCGGCGCAATCAATCATCTTTACGCCGAAAAACAGCTTCGCGGTTATTAAAAATAATAATAATAATAATTAAACAAAAAAAAGAATCGGGGCGGGGGTGTGTGGGGGGGGAGAAGATCGGCGCGCGCATCAGCGGGCAATGGCTGTTTGTAGCAACGAGGTATTTAGCGCCGCAGGGTGAAGGGGGGTGGAGACCAGGGTGGGGTGTCCCAGGAGCTTCGGCCGCCGCAAGTCCCTGGCACGGAGCTCCTGGCATCAGCCTCTGACGCGCTCCCGGCCCGGAGGGCGGGCCCCGCCGCCGCGCTCAGGTGCCCACGGCTGCAGGCGCCGGGCAGGCCGGGCGCCCCGCCGCCCCGGCCGGGGGGGCCACGCTCAGCTCCCGCCCGGTTACCTCAGGGGGTCCCGCCGTGCCCGGCCTCGCCGGCCCGGTCTCCCCGCGGCCCCGGGCACTGACCTGCGCGTCGCCCGCGGCCCCGCGGGCGGAGGAGGATGCGGGGGGGCCGCGGGGCAGCATTCGGCGACCGCTGCCCCGGCGTGACAGGGGCGGCGGCTCGGTGCGTCGGCCCTGGCTGGCCGCGATCGCGGCGGAGGCGCCGGAGCGGGTCCTGTCACATGATGCGGTTCCTGGAAAGTTCCTGGAAAGCAGCCTTTGTATGTAACCATCCCGGGAGGGGGGAGCGGCGGGGGCAGGATGCCCTCGCCTCGCAATCAAAGGCGAGCAGACCGCCCGCGCCGGGAAGAGGGGGGGAGCGGAGGGTGTTGTTTCCCCAGAAGCACCATCCTTCTCCGGCAGCCTCTGTTCACCCCAGCACAGCCTCAACGCTTCTCCCCGGCGGCGAGTGCTCTGTCCCTGCGGCCCCGGAACGCCGCCGGGAGCCAGAACAACCTGACCACCCCATCTCCAGGCGGTGGCAGCGGCGGCCCCAGCCCCGTCCCGCCGAACCCGGGTGAGTCCGCTCGCCCCCCTCCGCTCGATGAGCTGCCGCGCTTCGAGAGCGGGCAGCCCGCCTCCCCGCTACCGGGACGGCGTTGCCGACTGGCGGGATGGGGCTCCCCCGCAGCTGACGGCAGGCTGCTCTGGCGCTCCTCGTCCCGGCCGGGGGATGCCCGTCTGCAGCCATCCCCCACCGCCTCGCAAGCCTTCCGTCCCCATCGAACTCCCGCGAGCGGCGGCGCTTCGCGTCCAGGCTCTCTCGGAGCTTCCCTTTCACAAGAGGTCGCGCCCGGACACCGCCGGCAGGGCTGCTCCCACCTGTGCTCGGCGGCCCCGCGCTCGCAGCCGCTCCGGTGACAGGCGCACCTGCGCCCCGTCCCCGAGCCGGCGGCGGGAGCTTCTAAGCGCTGCGGAAGAAGGGGATGGGCTTTACTAGGGGGTTGCTGCTAGTGCATATGTTACGATAGAAACCCGACAGAGCAGCCTATCAGTTGCCACTATAGTTCAATTTGGAAAAGTTTCTGAGCTCCGCCATGGAACTTGTTACAGGAGGAACCACCTCGGCATAATGCCTCACCTGGCGGCTGCTGCGCACCCGGAGGCAGAGACTCTGCCCGGTTCGCCAGCACCAGCGAGGGGTCCAGGTCTTTATGGGTCTCCCTCCACCCCAGCTAAGCCGGCTAGACTCTCCCTCGCTGGTGCTGCCCGGCTTTTTATTGCTCCTGACGTGATGGTGCTAATAGTAGAGGAGAGGCTCTTTTTGTCCCTCCCGTTCACTTCAGCCGAGCGGAAAGATTTTTTTTTTTTCCCTAATATCAGCATTTAATAGAGCGGGAAAAGCACATTTCCTGCCCCCGCTAATTACATCGCACCCTCCACCGTGCTGCCCCTTCCTGTTCCCAGCGGCCAGCAAGCCCTGGGAGCCGGCGCTGCCCGCGCACCCGCTCCGCAGTTCCTCGAACACGCAGCTGCCCGGGAGAAGCTCTCCCACCCCGGGAGCACGGCCCAGGCCGGGCTCCCGTTCCTGGAGGTACGAGCTGGCGTATGATCTTACTGAAAAGCATTACCGTACCGTTCCTACGCACCGCGGCGTGCAACCCGGGCAGGGCCGGGGCTGGGACTGCCCCACTCCGTTGGTTACCCCTCCTCACTCATACCTGTACGTGCTCGGCTCTCCCCTACGACCTCTTCCCTCCCCAAACGTCCCCGCCTCGGTGCTGCCGGCAAGGTTCGCCTGCCCCGGCGGAGGCGGCGGCGCATCAGCAGGTTTGCCCTTGCAATAAAGCGAGACCACCTTCGCGGGCCGCCGCCTCCGCCGCATGCCCGGCGGAGGGGAGCCGAGGACAGGCTGGGCGGTGGGGGGAGGAGATGTCCCTCCCCCGCTCCGCCGCGAGGTGATCTCTCGCCTCGGGTTCCTCCTCTGGATGCTGGGAAGTTCCGAAGAGGGATCGCCAGAAACACACGGGCTGCGTCGGGAGCGCCTCTCGCGGGGCTCGCCGCTAACCACGCTGTCTCTCCGCTCACAGGCGGCGCCCGGGCTGGGGACCGGGACCATGTACCCGGCACGGCGCTGAACCCCGCGGCGGCGGCGGCGAAGCGGAGCCCTCCCCCGCCGGCAGCCCCCGACCTGCGTGCGAGCGGGACCGCGCCCGCCGCCGCCCATGACCCTGCGCTCCGCCGAGTCCCTGGAGAGCGCGGAGAGCTCCCAGGAGCGCTGGGGGCACCGCGAGGCGGCGGCGCCCGTTGCCGAGGAGTCCCGTGAGGCGGCGCAGCTGGCCGCGGCTATGGAGGAGCTGCGGCGGGCAGGTAAGCCCGGGCGGCCGGGAAGGGGAAAGCGCCCGGGGCGGCGGCGCTCGCCGAGGCTCCCGGCTCCCCGCCGTCCGCCGCGCCGCGGTCTCGGGGTAGGCGGGGAGCCCCGCCGGGCCGAGAGGGGAAGCGGGCGGCGGGGCGACGCTTGCCCATCGCCGCCCGGCGCTGCGGGGTCGCGCTCCCGCGGCGGAGAGGGGCGGCGGCGGCGGCTCCGACCTTCCGCGGGCTGCGGAGACGGCCGAAGCGAAAGCGCCGGCAGCGCCGCGCCTCGGCGGCAGCCCAGGATCGGCGGCCGAGAGAGGGCCGGGCGCTGCCGCCGGCCGGGGCGGCCGCGGCGCCGCATCCCCTCGGCCCCGCGTACCTGCGCTCCGCTCGCCGGCGTGGCGGCGGCTCACCCGGCCCCGCAAGACGCGGGGCTTGGCGGCGGGCGGCTGGAAGGGCTTTTTGTGTCCATCGCCGCTGCGCCAGGACCGCAGCCGCCCCGCCGGAGTTGTTTTCTTACCCCTCTCTGTTTCCGATCGTTCCACAAAGCTCATTTTAAGAGCAGCCTGCTCAGAGTTGCTGGGCTCTCTGCGGGCTGCCAGCCTGTGCCGTGCGGACGCCGCGCCGGCCCCGGCGGGAGCGCAGCGGGGAGCCGCGGGACGCGTCCCTGCTGCCTCGGGGGCGGCCCGCCGGTTCCGCGGCTCCCCTGTATGCCTCGCAGGACGCTGCGGGAAAGTTTGTGCCTGTGTATGCATAGATATGAAAATAAAGAGTGACCTGTACGGCTCTGTCAGAACGAGACGCATTGTAAAGCAAATGGATTTAAATAGCAAATAAAAATTTTATTGTGCCTGCAGGACTTTAGCTTTCAAACAACAAAGGAAATGGGTGACTACAAGTATATCAGCTAACGAACAGCTTTTTAAACAAACAGGAATAAACAAATTCCTTTTTTTTCTCAATTTTTAACAGGATGGTACTGGGGCAACATGACTGTTGCTGAAGCCAAAGAGAGATTACAGGATGCCCCCGAAGGAACCTTTTTGGTTAGGGATAGTTCACATTCAGAGTATCTGCTGACTATTTCAGTAAAAACATCAGCGGGACCGACCAATCTACGTATAGAATATCAAGATGGCAAGTTTAGACTGGATTCTATCACTTGTGTCAGATCTAGACTTAAACAGTTCAACAGCGTTGTGCATTTGATTGAGTACTATGTTCTTATGTGCAAGGACAGAACTGAAACGCCTTCAAATGGAACAGTTCATCTTTACTTGAACAAACCCCTCTATACGTCCGCTCCATCTCTGCAACACCGCTGCAGAATAGCTATAAACAAGAGTACAAATCAGATCTGGGAGCTGCCATTACCCACAAGACTAAAAGAGTACTTGAAAGAGTATCAATACCAGGTATAAATATATTTTCTAAATGCCTCTACCATAGAGTAACTTTTGAATGCAATTCTTAAAATCAGCCAAAGAACTGAGTAACTAGTTGTACAACTCCACATGGAATTCACTATCAAAACAGTGGCAGTTCTGGGGAAAAGGTTTTTATTTCAGATGCCACAAAGGGAGACTTTATGTAGGATAATCCCAATTTGCATCCTTGAGAGTTCAACAAGGTGGCATGCTATTCTTGCAAGGAGAGAGAAGTCAGGAATCTGTCCAGATTGTGTTGCTTTGTCAATGGCACAAAATGCTGCACTAACTATCAAATGCTTACTGGAGCAGTGGGACTGGGAGAGACTGCAGAAGTGGTCAGAGATGTATGAGAGTTCACAAGTATCTCACTTGTCTGACTCCAAGATTAATTTGGTGCTGGTGTTCATATAATCCTAAAAGCTTAACTAGATCACACTGTGATAATCTTGCTGAAGTTATGCAACTAATCAATCCAGTCAGAAAATGATCATGTATTCAGTTTTATTGAACTATTCTCCTGCTTTTCTGCAAGCAAAGGAGTACTGTAAGTAATCAGTTTAAAACATTGTTTTTCAAAGTTCTCTAAAGGCTGACCTTAAGAAGAAATGCCACATCTTTCACAGGAACCCAGTATGTTGCTGATTATACCAGATTGGTATCCCAGAATCCTTAACATGTTAACATCTTCACAGTGGTGATATATCCATGTTATTACTATTAAGACTTTTTTGGTTGAGGCTTTAAGAGTGTAGGCTGCAGACTTGCAGTTGCTCAGTTCCAATGTCAAAACATGGATATCAGCAGTTACTGCTGTCTTTCTACAGTGTAGAATGTTTTCTTCAGCTTGTTTCCCAAAATATGGGGAAATAGGATTTGGGTTTTGTTTGCTTGTTTTGTTTGTTTGTTTGTTTGTTTTGAGGTGGTTGGGTTTCTTCTTTCTTTTTTTTTTTTTTTACTTCTAATTCACCATTGTAGCTATCAGACTATTACTCAATAAAGTAAATCAAATTCACAACAATCTCCCAATTTTTGTATGTATCCATTTGCTATTATTGAGGAAACAGGGCTTTTATGAACCTGTATAATTTTCCCAGCTAATACTCAGATAAATGCACATGTATCAGTGAGGATGAATACTCCTGCTTTGCCTTTGTGGTATAGCTGGATTACATTCAGATTAGTGGCTTAGAGGCTGCCTGCTGAATTCCTGTAGTTAAGTATTAGCATAGGACCTTGCTTTTTCTGTTACAGCAGTCTTCCAAATGGGAGGAGGGGACTAAGACCCTCAGTACCCATTCCTCAGATTAAATGTGAAGTACTTAATAGAAGAAATACTCAGAATGAGAATAGCAGGAGAGCAATAAAGAGAGACAAGGACATAGATTCATCCTCAGTCAACAAATTCATAGTTTTAGCTCTTTCCCTAGCTTATTTGTTAGTTAAAGCACGGATCTGTGCTTGAACAAGGAGGATTGTCAAGACTTGCTATAATCTAGCTCTGCCCAGGCTGAAGTAGAAACAACATAAAATAATCTTCTTGTTTTCTTTGTGATTTTACTGCTCTGTTGTACTGTCAAGATGTTCTGTCCCTTCTCATAAACTTTGGGGCACTGACCAGCTTATTTGTGGCATCTAAACTCCCAGTATTATACTCTCAATTTTTCAGTAACATGCTGGCAGAAATGAGTCGCAGAGCTGTTCAGGAAAACAAGATACCAAGAACCTGAGGCAGAGTGGATGGTTCCTTGGTATGCCAGATGCTTGATATGTTCTCTCTGTGGAAAAGGCAGCTTTTCTCCTCCTCCATGGATTAAATTTTCTGTCCCCGTTTTTATGCAAGCTTTAGTGTAGAAATGAGGGGTGTTTTCTCCTGAAAAACAAAACAAAGGATTTTGTTATGTAAAATTTTCCCCATGTCCTGCCAAAATGCAGTTGGAAATTTTTCACAAATTCATGGTGACCACCCTTTGGTTCCCATCCCAGAAGACTTCTTGTATTCCAGGTATGTGTTATAATCACACAATTCTTCTCGTCAGTCTTGCTAGAATCTGCCACCCTGGGCTGAGGAGCTTTTCCTGTAAGCAGAGCCTGTGAAAGAACCGTATGCCTGGGAACACTTTTCATTCTGAAGAATCTGTTTTCTTACAGTTCTTGTCTAGCTCTACCTTGCAGTGAGAGAGCTGCTATATGGAATAACTTCTGTCACAGTTAGAAACACTCTAATCTGCTGCTATGTTGACCTTCCACTACCGTGCATTTTCAGCCAAGGTGATACGCGTGGAGTCTCAATGATAAACACATAATAATTCCTCCCTGGCTAGCCCCTGGCCTGAGGATCTAAAATCATGAATACCAATGCTGGAGCAAGCAGACTGAGAGGATAAGTGCAATGAGACTGCTATATTGCAAATATAAGAAATAATTTATGGCTTATTGCTGGCAGCCTACTGTAAGGACTCATAGGCCAAGTGTACCCCACGGCAGAGCCAAGCTCTGAGGAGCGACATGGGGGCAGATGCAGGGAAGCTTGCTGGGTTTCTTGATAGCAGTTCTCCAAAGCACAAGGGCAAATGGTAGGCTGAGGACGAGGAGTGCTAGTAAAGTGAAAGGTGGTGATTCTTGTAAATAATCAAGATTAGTTATTGTCATGTGGAATCAAGTCACCAAACACTGAGCATACTGACTTGGACTTCATGTCATATGTATTCATTCCTGTGAGGAAAAGCAGGGTCTGTAGCTATGGTGTGCTCGAAGCAGTGAACAGTATTTTAAACAGACTGGAGGGGGAACTAGTCCTCTTTGCATGAAAGCGCGGTTCTTTTCCTCATTAGGATGCCAGTCCTAGGGTTGATGCATTGCACTAGTGAAACTAAACTGCACTATAGCTTGCTGAAAGCTTGGCTTCTTTCTAATGCAGCACAGAGGAAGGACTTGTTCTGGTACAAAAAATCCAAGGATAGCACATGATTGGATTACAGTGGTACAAAGATCTTGCATGTAGACTTGGTGAATTTTTAGTCGTGATCATGTTGTTCAAATATTTTTAAAAAGTTTCAGTGCCTTTTTTCTTTTTTTTTTCTTTATTTCTTTCTGGATGTTGTGGCTTGTTTGCAGCACTAGCTTTTAAATTGCTGGCTCTTCAGATTCCAAAAATTACTTCTAACTGATATATATCACCTTGAATTGCTAGTACAGAGTGTTCAGTGAAGCCAGTTTCACACATTCAATGCCCATGAGTCAACCAAAAATCATGATAAGGACTTTAATCCTAAGCCTTTTTTCTCACCCCATGTGTTTAGTTTTTCGTTTTTGAGTCTTGAGGTTTCAGATTTTCCAGCTTGTACCAGGCATGTTAGTTGCTAAAAACATCTTTATTTTAATTAAAGGAAGACTGAGAATCCTACAATCCTAAAAGGTGATGCTTAAAAAAACCCCAAACAACCAAACCAAACATAATTGCAAGATGAATGATGAAAATAAGAATTGGTGACAGTATTTCATTTAGCACTAAACCTAGCAGAAGTGTGAACTATGGCAGCATTTTAGTTGTATGGTATTTTCCTGCTGGTAGTGTTATCACCAGAGACAGAAAATGGTTCAAGTACAAGATGAATGGGTAGAGTGGAAATGTATCCAAGCAGCTGCATCCAGTGCATTAGAAGTAATTTTATTTTAATCTGATCTCGTCAGTATTGTCCTTATTATATGTTATGTAACCACATTCTAGATAAACAATATATAATTATTAGCAAGAAGGAAAAATTGTTCACTAGAATATGGGGGCAGAGGGTTTTTGTGATATCTTAATGCAGAACTTACTCTTCACTAGAAATGATGGAGCTTTATAATCTGAGACTCTTACTAAGTCTCATCACCTTGAGAAAACAGAATCTACATACGATACGAAGGACAGGGTTCTGTAGTTGCATGGATTCCTGTACCTTAGCCAGCTCCCATGTCTTAGCAAAATGTTCCTGCAGGTAAATTATCTTGTTAAAGATTGTAAAAAACTTTATTTACTTACATATTCTATTCGAGAGCTTTTTCTTGTATTCCTGATAACAGTCCTATGGATTTTTCCTTCGTCTATAAGCTTAGGCTCTAGCGGAAAGTAAGTCAAGTGGTGTCAGGCCTTTGCTCTCCTTAAGCCAAAACACATGATGGAAATGGGAAGAGAGATCTTTAGACAGGGGTATCATGTCTAAGGGTCATTTAAAATAAAGTAAAATAAAATTTCTGCTGACTTCACTGTCATTAAAATGAATCTGAGTATCATATTTACTGCTAGAGGAACCAATGGCTTAAGGGATTCTAAAAACGGTAATGTTAATTCTCAATCATAAGAAACTTTATCAAAAGGAGGAATTTTATTTAGATAAAACTATAGAAATAAAAGAAACTTTTAGTATCTAAAACAAACAAATTCCAAATAGAATAACCAGAAATTAGTTGAAAGGTCTGAGCTCATTAGTTCTCTATATACAAAGGAAGTGAATACGACAAGCTACTTTGGTATCTCAGCCTAACTCCTGAAAACCACTTCTTTATTAGTGTTAAATTCAGCAGGTCTCAGTATTTTGCTAAGCCGTTAGCATGACTGAAAATGCCTGGAAACAGCATTCCACTTCAGTCATCATGGTCTGAGCTCGCTTTACAACACAGTGATTTGCCACAGTAGTGCTGAAATGGGGTGATTTCTACAGTGGGCTGAATATCTCTGAAGGAGACCATGAGGCAGAGCTGGTGCTGCCCAAGGCCATGAAGGGTATCAGGTGCTGACCATTGCTGGTCCTTATGTGCTGTCTTAGACAGAGGGCACACAACAAACTAGGTGAAATACAGCTGCCAGAAAAACAGATGAGGAACTACTCTGCTTGCTAAGGAGGGAATTTCATGTCTGAGAAGGGACTGAAGGGAAAAAACGTGGAAGAGTCAGCAGCTCCTGTGAAAGGTGGCACTTCTCACAAGGTGTATCAAATAACTAACCATCAGGATGAGTATGATACTGAAAAGTGTTATTAGTAGAGATTAAAGGTCCAGGGGGATAACAAGTATCAGCACAGTTTGAATCCACATATAAACAAAGTCGGTCTAGATAACTGAATTTCAGGGAAAAAAAAAAAGCTTCTAGCAAAATCAGTCTGTCCTGGTGCCAGGGTTACCAAACCAGGGGAGGGATTAACTGTGTTTATTAATCAGGTTATCTACAGGGCTTTGAAGCAGCCAGTGCCTCTGATAAAGTCTATAGAAATGTAAAAACATATCACCATAATTATGGTGTTTAATCTGCCTGATAAATTGTGATTTTTTTTCTACTTAGATCATGTTTTAAAAAGGGATTGCACCTGTGTTACATTTTGTTTTCTTCCAGAGCTGAAGCCACTAGCTCTCCAGGAACTGAAATACCAAAATAATACCACTCCTTTCTATGGTATTAAGGAGGAATATGCCAGAGCAAAAGCTATTTATATTAGCATAGGAGGTGGTTGGGCACTGAAACAGGCTCCCCAGGGAAGTGGTCACAGCACCAAGCCTGACAGAGTTCAAGAAGCATTTGGATGATTATCTCAGGCACATGGTGTGACTCTTGGGGATGATCCTGTGCAGGGTTAAGATTTGGACTCAATGATCCTTATGGGTCCCTTCCAACTTAGCAGATTCTGCAATTCTGTGAAGGCATTTAGTAGGAAAAACTTCAAGCAGATACTATCCAGGAAAAGTTTAGTGCTGAGTGCTGCAAAGAGCAAAATACATTTAAAAAAAACCCCACAAATTCAATGGTCCTGTTTTGATTTTTCTTTCACTAGCAGGCAGGGTTTATGTAAGTAAATTTTTTTGATTCTGATCAAATTGTTCCATAATTGAAGTTCCATATTTGAGGTTTGCAATTTGGTGCACTGTTGGTTAACAAATAATAAATGGAGAGGTATGTTAAATGTGGGGAAAGATTCAAAGCTCCACACAAATTCTTCTTTTGAGATTATTTGAATCAGGCTTGATAACAGGAGTTATATAGAAAATTGTTGTAAATCTGGTAGCTGAAAGCTGTAAAATCCCTTTTCAAAACGCTTTGTTACAGTTTAACTGTATCTCTTCAGGTTGCAGCCCTAAAATAGGATCTGTTCAGCTGAGTCCTGTACCCACACTATGTTTGTCTCAGGGGGAGCATCCAGATTTGAGAGATTGCTCCAGACACCTATATCACATGTCATACATTTGCTTTTTTCTTACCCAGTGTGCTGTTTGATGCATATACAGAGCAGAATAAGTTGTGGATTGACTGTTACTGTTCAAGGGATTTAATTTGGTCCATTTTCTTTAGGAACAGAAACAAGACTGAGCTGCAACTTTCCATCTGTAAAGTGGGCAAATGGACTCAACATTTTGTAATTTATCAGCATAGGGTGAAAAGTGGCTTATATTTCAATTAACATTGGTAGGAACTTAAGCTGCAATGATGGCAGTATCTTTGGCTGCATTGCTAGAAAGAGAGAAGTAAATTAAGAAAGTGAGATCCTTGTCTAACTATATTGCAGTGGAAGTGGCATCACAGCTCCTTCGTGAGCTGAAGTGCTTCAGGCGTGTGTTGTCTTCCAGAGAAACTGGCTGTGAGAAGATAACTGTTTTCTGGAAATTCATCTGTTTTAACTCCCCTGATGGAGAATGCAGTGCCTACTGCAGGCTGCTTCACTAGCCTGAATGCAAGCAGGTTTCATTTTGAAAGGGAACAAAATAGAGGAAGTGAAATTTTAATTGAAGGGTTTGTCCTTCAAATCCTAAAAAATGGAAGATTACAAAAAGCAATAATTATTCTCCCCCTAAATAAAACCAACTTTCCAGTCTTTTATGTAAAATGCTAGAGAACCATTTCATATGCTGTAATTTGCAAACAAAATAAGTTGGTTTTGTGAAAAGGTTTCAGACTTGAATCTTAAATTCATTTTAGTTATTTGACAATGTTTGATTTTCAGGCTAATTAGTGAATTTTCTTTGTTCTCACATTATTAAAATGGTGCTCTTTACATTTAAAAATAACTTCATAAGTCTGAAATAAATAATAAATAATAACAGACTTGTAATATTTCATCTGTCTCCTCAAAGCATCTTTAGATTAAACTTAAAAATAAACAGAGAACTACATTAATTCATGTATTTACAGAAAATGGACTAAAAATTCTGAGACATACTGAGTCGTGTTTGGCAAATATTAATTGCAAGTTTTTTATTACAATTCATTGGAGATTTTTTTTTCTGGAATGTATGCAAATGTTTTGCATTTGATGCCTGTTTCTTTTTTATAACTATTCATCATTCAGCTTTTTGCTACAGATTATTTGTATCAAAGTAAACAGCATTAAGAATTCACTGCAGTACTGCTAATAAACACTTATTTTTATTATGGAAGCAAATGTAAACGTATAGACACTACAGGGTCACTTTAAACCTGGTTTAAGATATTTTAAAACTTTCTGTGCTATATTTTACCTACATGCTGGACATGCCTTTTAATAAAATAATACTTTTAAGGAAGTTCATGATGTGTCACTTATTTTGTTTTCATTCTTCTCTTTGAACTGCATTTAATTTAAGGACTTTATTGTTTAAATGAATGGAAATTTTGGAGTATCAGAATAATTAAGCAGCAGCCCAGCTGGTCCCCTTCAGTGATGCACTTCAGTCCTGCCCATCATCTTTTCTTAGGAGCGATAACAAATTATTTTTGGAGTAGCAAATGCCACCTGAAGAGTGACACCCCCTCCCAGCCCACCACCTAATGCCCTCAAACCCTGCCAGCACCCAGCACAGCATGCCTAAATTTTGGTCTACAGTTTGGGCAAACTTTCCATACCAAAACCTTCCCTTCCTTGGCACCAGCTTGTTTTTTGGTGACTGGCACAGGAGACCTGGATGTTGGCATTACAGACACCCACACTTGGAAAGGGGAGTGCAATTGGGACCAGGGTGAGGAGGAAGAGGGAGGAAGAGATGGGATTATTGTCTGGGACAGCAGTAGAGAGCAATGGCTTGCAAGACCCTCATGTAACCTGAAGACCACCAAGTTTGGCCCACCCTGACTCATATTTTAACACTGTTTTTGAGATACATCACATAAGAAATCTTTTCTGTGCTCTTCTTTCTAAAAATGACAGGCAAGCACACAATACGTTTCTTTTTTCCCATCTTAATTTCTGAGGTTTTGTGAGAGATTTAACCAATTAGACGTGTTTTTAATAAACAAATCTAGAGGCTCATATTTTTTCTTTTGTCCTTAAAGCTGGAATGCTGTCCTACAGACAATTGAAAACAGCATAATCCTAATAGATTAAATCTGCTTGCACTAGTTTTAAAAACATATTTAGGCTCTCGTTATCAGCAGAAACCAACCAGTCTGTAGAAAACAAAGAAAATACATACATGCTTGAATACAGCTTGACTAATTAGCATAAACCATTTAAAAAAATCCCATTATACTAGTACAAAGTTTCTAAAAAGATTTGGCACTTAAAAGTGAGTTTTAAAAAAGTTTTACAATAATAATTGTAAAAATCTGGCATTATGACCTGGAATATCCCACACGTAAAGAGAAGAGATACTGGATAGCTTGGTTCCCACAGATTTGGACTTGTGACCCTGAATTCAGCAGTCCTTAAAAGCCGATGACCACTGGTGACCCTTCAGTCTGCAGGACCAGACAGAACAAGGTTTTAAGTCTAAAAGTCTGATGATACCGATGTGCAGGATTGACCATGACATTTGCGCAGTTAGTGGGATACTGAATTGACACCAAACTGGCTCAAATAGATATAAAAAATGTATAAATAAATAAATATAAAATATGTATTTTATACATATACACACATACACATACATATCTATATATACACACACACATACATATATATGTATTAATTTTTTTGTCCTTAAAACTGGAATAGAACCAAATCATCTTTCTGAAGTTTTGTTGAACTTGGACCAGAACTGAAGTGGGAGAACTTTGTGAGGGCTGAACCCAAATGGAACTGAAATAAAGAGCTTAAGGGCTTCTCTCCCTGGACTTAAAGTATTACCTGTGCGCATTCTTATCCTGTAACTGTAGTATATAATCAATGGCTGGGTTGCATTGCTAAAGATGAACCCAAAACACCAGTAGCACATTCATAGTTTCTGCTAAGTAAATTTGCAGCACTGGTTATTAATTAGTGGAAGAAAAAGGAAACACCACATTTCCCCTTTAATCAGACTTGGACTTCTGCTGCTGTCCTCTTCCTTCCTAGGCTTATCTGTTTCCTTCTTTGTATCTCTGTTCAGACTGCAAGCAAAGGGATGACTAAATGTTGATGAATAACTGCTATCATTTACTTGAGTGGAATCTGGAGCTGCTCTGTGTATATCCATGTGTTTTGCTAACTTTCTAAGTCTTTCTTGGACAGCATAAAATAAATAATCTTAATTGCCTCATCTAGCAAAAAGATATAGTAAATGCAAGTGATGTAACTGCTTGTCCTAATTTTCTATTTTAAAATGCAGGCACATTATATGCAATTACATGCAGCTGTCAGGATTGCAATGATGTGATTCTGTGAAGTCTCCAAGTTTGGTCACTCCAATTCCAGATAAAATACAGTTCTTTAGATCATGACTGAAAAAAAAAAACCCAAAGCTGACAGAAGTACAAGAAGCCAAGAAAGGAAACTTTCAGTAGCTGTGTACTGCTGTGCTCAGAAACAATCATAGAGATGGTTTATGGTGTTCTCTGCTCCCTGGTGCTGCGCTGTGCTGTTTACAAATGTATTTTCTCACAACTACTAGTACAGACTATCCATGACAAGAAAATTTAAAACTGCCTCAGCTGTACTTTGGCTACAATAGCAGCACACTTCTGGTCTCAGAGTTACTGAAGATGACTTACTTGTGTGGTTTCCAGTGTTGTCAAGGTCATAGTAAATATGTTAATGCACCTCTCTGAAACAACCCATAGGAGTATTTAAATTTTTTATATCTGTGTTCCTAGAAGAATAACAGGTGTGCCTGAGACAAAAAAACACCTTGGTTTACAAGATGTATTGGAATAAGAATTATTCACAAGCAATTTAATCCCCGATATCAAATTTATTGCCTGGAAATAATAGTAAATACAAGTGTTATGTTAATCAAACCAAAACACTGCTTTAAAATGGCTAAGCAAGTAGTATCTCTGCAGAAGCTGGCCACACAATAAATGTATATATTTTTTTAAACATTTTTTAAAACCAGCATACAAACTTTAAGACTGACTTACATTGTGTTCACATAAATTCTCAACTTTGGTGTCAGACACAGAAAAATCAAAGGAAAAGGATTTAAGCTTTCTCAGAGTTACTGCATATCTTTATGTAAAATCTTGTAGATAAATACCATGTTAAGGATATGCAGTATGCGAGCTCTACTTTTGGTCATATTTTTCTATGGCAAGTATTTCCTGGGTACAGTATCTAGGAAAGGCACGTAAAGCTTTCCATAACTAACTTCCAAATACCCTTAAATCTGTACGATTACTCTAAACTGAGTGTACAAATAAGATTCACACGGTGACAACAGCATCTGCAGCCACCACCTTTCCTGCTTTTCCAGAGGGTAGGCATTAGCATGCTGTGCAGACCACAGCTAGCTCGCTATGGTTGCCTGCAGCTTCAAGGTAGCGCGTTCCAGCACTGCAGGATCTTTTTTTTTTTTTCTTTCATCGCTATTGCGGTCCCAACATGAAAGAAAAAGGGCTCACACCATTCAATCCCGTGTAACACCTGACACCTACGTAAAGATGGAAAAAAGTTCTTCCATGGTATGTGACAGAAAGTGATACCGCCTCATTTTTATAGCTCTGTGAATCATAGTCTTCTCTCTTCTACCATATTTTGGTTCCAGATATTCATATAAAATGATGTGAATTCAATAATACTGTATTCAGTAATCAATAAAACGACCAGATTAATAAAATGACCAGAATGTGCATAGCACTGTGGTAGACACAGGCTGGCACTCACTTTAGTAAACGGTTTTCATCTATCAAAGTTTCTTCATTTTTAGGCTGCTCAGATGAAAGTAATGAAGCCAAATATGTATAGTATTTCATATAATACTTCTCTGTGTTTGATATAACGATACAGCACCGGGATGAAGTTCGACTTAGCGCAACGCTTGCAAATAGGAACCAATATTCCTAGAGAGTAATGGCATCAGCTGTTTCTAATGCCATAAAAACTCCAATGTCGTAATTTCTGATTTAATTTTGAATACAACTCCTCCACTCGCTGAACACCCCCACCACCCAGACGCTGAGAGCGCAGCAGGTCCTCCGAACACCTGGAAAGGGGCCCCTTTCGCGGAGACCCCCCGCCGCGGCACCGGGCAACGGCGAGAACCCCCAGCCGGCGCCAGGGCCGCCCGCACCGCCGGGCTCCCGGCGCGCTGCCCACAGCTGACATGGCGGCGGCGGCCGCCCCTCCTCGGCCGGCCCGGCAGGGCGGCGGCGGCGGCTTCCGGCGGAGCGCGCTCGCCTGCCTCACAGATGGTGCTGCCCGCGCAGGCTCCGCGGGCGCCACGCCGCCAGGGGTAGTTCCGCGCTGCCCTCGCGTAAGTAGGGGAGGGGGACGGCGGCTCGTTCGCCCGGACCCGGCCCGGCCCAGCCCGGCTCGGCTGCTCCCGCCCGCCGCCCCGGGCGCCGCGCAGGGGGAAGCGGGAGAGCGGAGCCGAGGAGCCGTTCGGTGGCGCCGCGGGGCTGAGGCAGGGGCCGAGCTTCCGCGGGGCGGTCCCGGGCCGCCTCTGCTGCCGCAGCCGGTGCCGGAGGGAAGGCCAGGGGGCGGCTGCTGCCGACGGGGGCTCGGGGCCGGGGTGCCGGCAACCAAGCCCTGGCTGTTGCAGGAGCAGCAGCGTCGAGACCTCAGCTGCAGGGAAGAAGTTAAAAGCAAAACCTGATTTTTTAATGATATATTTTTAACTCGTAGGCATGCTGTGAATAGCCAGAATCACTCGTGGGTTAGACAGGGGAGACCTTATCCTTAGCTAAGCAGGCGTATGGGAACGCACCTGGGAGTCATGAGCAGCCCGTTGCAGTTGGTGTTAGGGAAAACGCCGAAACTTTTCTAGCCAAGAAGTGAATGTGCCTTTTTAGAATCAGAAAGGATTTTTATAAAAAGTTTTATCTCCATTCATAGACAGATTCTGTGTCAGATGTGAAAAAATGCAGACCGACTTGTGTTGATGTGGTGATGAGTCAAGGATTGTGCACATTCAGCAGGACATGGACTATGTTTCTTAGAATTTGGCTTTACAATGGAAAAGATCAATTTTCAGAAGTATCTGGGAAAGGTTTGAGCCATGTCTTTTTTTGGGTCAATGGACATCTCATCTTTGTCATTTTTCCATGGAATTACTAGACAAAATTTAGTTCAGACCTTACTTTGCATCCCTAGATATAGCCTGTGATTAAAATGAATTTAAATTAATTCTCTGTTTTACTAAGCTCTGTCCCAACACTGTAAACACACACAAAGAAGTACTTAATCTTTAAAAAGACCTTAGAAAGCAGTACACCCCATCCTGGAAGTTTATTAGGACAGTGCTAGGACTTTAAAACCTCAGTTGTGTGCACTCTGCAGTCAGCAAGATTCCCCCTTCAGATTCATGGCTTGATAACACCCAAAGGTGCAAACTGAGATGGTTGGTAACAGCTTCTTTTTGAAAAGTGTTGGCTGCTTTGGTTGTGAAGAAGAGGAACTCATCAAGTGCTGCACAGTGACTGGAGAACTCAATGTTTCTCATCCAGCACATGGGCGAGGAGGCTGCTGGATGGGGACTCTCAGGGGCTTGTGCAGAATGTGAAGCACAAGAGTTTTGTAGCATCTGAAAGAGTTTTCTGCCTGGGTTGAGATAACACCCTCGGAGCTGCTGTCTTGAACTCTGCAAGTGTTTTGTGAACTCAAGGGCATTCCAGAAGGGAGAAGTGATGGGATTTACTGCCTGAATTTTTGTCCAGAGATAGCTTCCAGTAGTGTAAAGGTACTATGTGTTGGAGACCAGGGTCTTCGGCTTCACCTCTCCAAAATTAGCCTCCTAACATCAAGTGGGGAAATCCAGTTCTTTCTTGCCTGTTCTTTTTCCAGCTCCTTGCTTGCAGTATTGTCTCAGTCCATGATGGAGTTTGATGTTTGAGCTATGCTTAGCAAATTAGCATTTCTTAAGGACGTGTGCTGGGATAGCCGTTATTTATTCCCACATGATCCCTAGACACAAGGTAAGCACCTTGAAATTCACTTCAGTATATGAGAAATGAACCGAGTAACCCGGGAAAGTCCTCTGGGAAAGTGCCTTCCAGCAGTGCTTTTAGCTCTCAGTGGAAGCATTTTTGGAAAGTGGCTTTATCAGAGGATGTCACAGACAGAGTTTTCCAGTTTCTCTCTCTCATAGTGTTATGCCCTTGCATTCTGACCAAGGTGCCATTTGCATGCCGATATGTTGGTTGCCTGCCCTAGATTTTAACAACCAGGTCAACAAAAAAACCTCTGATGGGGCCCTGGGAGTCACTAGGCACCTCTGATGATAAAAAGACTTTAGCAGGATTCATACAAAAGCTTTGAAAATTCCTGTCTCGCCTTGTATCCTCAAGCTGAATGAGGTAGAGTTTCTGCAAGGTCTAGCTGTTCAAAGAGCAGCTTCTAGTTTAATTATTAGAAACTCTCTTGCAGTAATCACAACACCTACTACAGTTTTTGGACATCATTATTTAATAATGAGAAAGTATCTCATTGTATTGTCCTGTCGCTTTGCTTTTCAAGTATCATCGATGGCCCTAAGGATATGTGGTTAAGGATTAGACTAGACGTTTTCAGTTGGTTCATAGGTCTGATATAGACTCCTGTCACGATCTTGGGTCTCTGGTCCTTGACTCGTCTTCTGTAGAGTGACTATAAAATGCATGGGTTTTGGCTTTTATGTCATCAGAGTGTTAGTCAAGTAAAATGGAAGCTGGCAAAGGGCATCTGATTGCTTACTGTGAACACATTAGAAGGGAGGGAAAAGAGCTTCTTAAGCTAAAGAACAATTTTAGCAGAACAAATGCCTATAAATAGAAGGTGGATAAATTTGAGATGGAAATTTGAAGAAAGTTTCTCATCATCAGATCAGCTGAGCTCCAGAGCACTATTCCAGGATGATTTGGGGGGAGAACGACCTGGTGCATAACATGCGTTTCTACCCCTTCTAAACTTAAAATACAGGCCAAAGCTACCTGCTGCTGTCCCTGCTGCTGCTGCCTGGCTGTGGTGCATCTACCAGTCCTGCTGCTGCTTTTGTAATTATATCAGTGGTCAGTTGTGACATATCTTTAATTTTTGGGGTTAGAGTCTCTTAAGGACTGGCAAGTGCTCTAGCTGCCTTTAATGTGGACCTTAGCCAGTTAGTGAGCGGGATTACGTGGCGTGGGTTTCACTCCAGCAAAGGACTGGGCTTCACAATGCCAAAGGTTCTATTCCTGTCTAATATGTCCCAGAAGTGACTGCATTTTACCTTGTGAGACAGTGAAATCTGAGCAGAAAGAAGATGATAGGGATCATTAACAGTTTTCCCAGGCTGGTGATTCTGAGTTTGTAATTCTTTCTGAAGGTTGACAGGTGTCAAAACATCTCTTCTGAATGTTCAAACATCACTTCTGGATGTTAAAGGTCGCAGTGTTTTAATCTTTATACGTTTCCTTACTCCTTGTCTCACACTCTAGGTTGCCAGATGGATGCCAGAGATAAGCAGCTTTTACGCTCCCTGCGCATTGAGCTCTGCACAGAGGTGCTGGTGGATGGACTTGTTATTCAGTATCTCTACCAAGAAGGGATTCTTACAGACAGTCATGTTCAAGAAATAAAAGCCCAAACCACCAGTCAGAGAAAAACCATGATGCTCCTTGATATTCTCCCCACCAGAGGACCCAAAGCTTTTGAAGTGTTCTTGGATTCCTTACAGGAGTTCCCGTGGGTTAAAGACAAGCTGATGATGAAGCGCAAGGAAATGACAGTACAAGGTCCTTCAGGTAAGGCCAGAATTGTTGTTGCTGGTATTTTGAAGGTTGGTATTTTGATTGTTGTTGCTGATATTGTTCTCAAGCCATGATTTTAAAAGTATTGAATGTACCAGTAATTTCAAGTTATGCATCGTGTAGACACATGATACCAAGAAAAGGGAACAGCCTGAATTTCCTGGAAACCAACCAAATATCAGGAAATATGGCCAAGTTAGGGGCATGAGCAGGGCTGAGTTTCAGGAGACAAGGAGATAGCAGGAGGGGCTGCCTTGGGTGAGGCTGGGGTATAGGAGGACCTATAATCCATTACCTCAACAAGAGTGGACTATAAAAAGTAGTTTTGACTAGCTGCAGAACAGTCTCTTTACCATCCATATCTGATTATTCTTTGGTTTATTTATGTTTTACAGTGATTTGTTTCTGGGTCATTTATACTGACAGAGTTTTTATTTACTTTTATTATGCTTTTGATGTAATTTTGATTTAGTACCATGTACTAATTTAGATTTATTTAGTTTATTATATTTACTGGAGTACAAATATCTAGGATCATTACTTCCAAAATTACTAGCCATTGCTTATTTTTAAAACAAATGTAGGAGCTAACTGATTTAGTGGGTATTGTATAATCTTATTTAGTAAAATCTCTGGCATTTAAATGTACTTCTAAAATTAGTTTTATGGACTTGATGTTTGTTCAGAAGTGATTTCTTTACCAATCCATGCATGCAGTTGGCTAAGCTGTTTTGAAGTCAAGACAACTGCTTAAAATTCACATTTCTTGTCCCAGATTCTGTCAGCATGCACTGGCTGCTAACCTCACGTTACCAGTGAGATAGTGAAATAGTCCTCAGTTGGGAATATCCTTTCCAGGCAGTCTGATTAATCTTTCTCCAAGTCCTCCACCCCCTGCTCTACCCCTACTTGAGTTTGGTCATACATATTTTGATGCACATGACTTGTGATTTTTCCAGTGTCAGTGTGCTTTGTGTGAGACTCAAAGCCTGTGAAGATGGGTGACTACGACCCATTGACCATCATGTGCACCTGCATCTCAGCTGCACTTACAAGAATGTTTTGTCAAGATCTGCTGGACAAATCCAAGATTATCTTACTTTAGGACATTTTTAATGGAATATTGTGACAGCTGTCTTTCTGATGGTCTCTGTGGAGGTTGCTGTGTGTGTGCTTGGAAATGAGTAAATAATTTTCAAAAATTGGGAAATAAATGTGCTATGCTGCCTACAGGGAAAAACACTTCAAGTTCTCATCACAGTGCAAACCAAGGCACTGAGTGTGTTGGAAAAGGCCTTGCTCAGACGAAATCCTGAGCTAATGCTCTTTATCTGCCTTACAAAACAGCCTCTACCTTGGATAATTGCTGCTTAAGCTGTTGAATAATTCTTACAGTTCCAGAAACACACAACCATCAAGTGGTTTACTGGAAAAATTGTTACCATTTTTTGTTCTCCTTGTTTTGTGGGTTGCTTGTTCCCATTCTTGATCGTTTGTTGACTAAGGTGTTGGATTTAAGCGTATCAGGTTCTTTGGTTTCGAGTGGGCTGATTCTACTTGATAATCCTATTGCCAAATTTTGTGTGTAAATTAGAAAAGACTTCCACATTAGCTCAAAGGCTACTGTTATTTTTATTGTGACAATACAGAGTGTAAGAACAGGATAAGAGGCAAATTTTGGTTTAATATTTAGGCATGTTCTTTAGAAACCAAAGAAAGAGAGCACTATCTTTCCCCTAGTACGTGCTGACTGCGCCCTGGAATGAATTGGAAACTATGGTGGTATCATCAGCGCTGATTACATGCAAGAAAATGTGCTTTGGGATAAAAGTTTTGCTTTGCTTTCTAACAACAAAGTTGGAAGCTTTTGTCTTGGCAGAGTATATGAGCATATGCTTAGCCTTAAGCATGGAAAAAGCCATTGGTTCTAATAAAACTATAAGCATATTTAAAATTAAATGAGTTCTCTAGTGCCATGCAAGATAACTTCTGCCTTATTGAAAACTGTTCTTATACATGCTTATTTGTCAATGGCAATTTCTTTTAAAGAATCTGCTTGTGGTGAAAAGAGCCTGCCCCACACACACTACCTTTTTTTAGATCCTAAAACTTTTAAAATTGGGTTTATGGCCCCAGTTTTTTAAACTATTTTTTTTTAATCATATATACTATGGAAACTGAATGCTTACTGTTCACTTGTTTTTACTTAATTAAAATTCTGTTAACTCAAGTAAAATATCCTCAGTTTTTACAGATCCTTTGCAGAACTAAAGACTAGTAGCAAGTTGGTCCTTGAAGGAAGGTTTTATTCTGGTCTTTCACTTCACAGTGGCTACATGGAGGATTTTTAAAGTCAGTGACTAAGTAGACTATTAGATTAGTCTATCTGAACCTAAAACTGGCATGTGCACAGTGATTTTCCTGTGTAGGTCTTTGGGTTATTTTGCATTTTGTTCAAAGAGATCAGGCTTTCTATCTTTGCTTCAGCTGAGAAGTATATTTTGTTGGTTGCTAGTTAAAAAAAAAAAATCACAACTGTAATTATTTAGAAACTTTTAATTTATTTTCTTCCCCTAGTTAAAATCAAACCCAAAACAACAAACCACCCAGCAAAACAAACGGCAATTTCAGAAGGTCAGAAAAAAAATTTTTTTGTTTTGTTTTGTTGTGTAAATATGATCTGGTGAACCGAGCAGCTACAAAATGGAAGCCAAAGTCTGAGACCTAAGCAAGATACTGCCACTGACTCATCGTGAGTCTTTGAGCAAATTCTTTCAAGGCAATGGATTTATTGATTCCCAAGTTGTGTAACTTGGTGTAGTGTTCATGGAACAGCATAGAGTGGAACTGTAAATTGGCCCAGGATTCAAACCCAGTTTGGCTGCTTGCAAATAAATGAACTCTAAAACCACTGATATCCTGACTTTTATTGCTCAGTGTCTGTTGACTTAAAAATAATAGTTCTGTATACTGTTATCTGTTGTAGTTTCAAGGAACACAAAAGACCTTGATCTTGCAGAGCATGAGGAATACTTCTTCCATGAGAATCAGGAGAGCAATGTGCAGGCAGGTAGGACCACTTGCATCTGTATAACTGCAGCAAAGAGATCCAAGATTCCTTCACCTTGTTTGTTTACTTAAGGCACAAGACAGCCTTTTGCCTAAGGTCACCCTTCTCCTCTCTCCTGTGGACCTGACAGATGGCCAGAGCTTTAGGGAAGCCTTATCGTAAGGTGGGGAAAGCATTGTTGTAATACCCCAAAATCGCAAGAAGGAAATTCAAAGTCGTGCTTTTGAAGGTAAATATTTATGACTTTAATTGATTTAAAGATGATAGGGTATATTTCTTGCTTGTGTAATAACCTGTGATAAAACAGTTCACCTTGTGCAGAGTGGCATTGCAAGACTTAATCATTGTGAACATCAACCACAGCATGAGTTCCTGATTTTGAAGACCAAAACTCCTGCCATAGTAAGAGTTAACAAAAGTAATGTGGGTCTGTTTCATTGGGAGAAGACTATTCTGTTTTTTCTGCCCTAGTTTGGATAACTTTATGCCTTTGTCAGGAACATAAATCTTCAATATAGTCTTATAATTCCTACAAAAAACTACAGCTGTTGGCAGTAGAATTCCCTTCTTTCTAGGAACAGAAAACAGTTACCCAATATTTTTTACACTGAATTAAAAAAATATATGAGCTTTGATGACATTTGTTTATCAGAATTTTTCTAATCTCTGTCCACTTGGGAATTTCTTGGTCCAAGTATTAAATTTCTCTCCATAATACATGTGCTATAAAATAATTTACTTCTTAAAGTGTTAGTATTGCACTTCTTTGTAGTATAGATGATTTCTCCATTCCACAGAAAATCACAGCATACTGAGAAAGAAAAAAGTCTGAGATATGGCATTTGCCAGAGGAATCCTGGAGCAGCTGCTGTTATCTGGCAAATGTTAGTGAATTTAGGGCATGGAGTTACACAGAATTGCCATGGGAAAGCTGTACTCTCACAACTAAGCAGGGGATATATTCTAATGCACGATTTTGTTGTTGTGGTACCTAGTCAACATTAAGGTCCTGTTAGACTTGGGAGAGGTTTTTTGATTTGAACAGATTTTAGTGTGGTTGAAGTTTTTCTCTGGATGTGTGGGGAGTATGTGTTCTCGTATAGCTATATAAAGCTTCATGTTGTGTAACGCTTTGGATGAAGCATGCAAATAGAAAACAAAGCAAAACATGTACTTATGCTGAGAAAGCCAGACAGCCTTCCATCCCCTCCCAGCTTTCACAAAGTCCTTTTTCCACAGCTGGATTGTGGGTTTCTAAGAATTTGGATTCAAATGCAAAAGCATTAGGACATGGGAAATTTTAGTATGTCTTTCTGCCTTTTGTTGGCTGCTTCCTGCCCTCTTCCTATCCTGCTTCCTCTCCCATCTAATGCAGTGAGGAAACAGCCTGATCTCTTGCCTTTTCCATTTGGATGTCAGATAGGAGAGCAGCTGAAATGGTGGACACTAAATAGTGGGTTTTTTCATTCTTTAATTTCCCTCCCCTCTCTTGTATAGTCCAGTGGCAGAAGGCAGAGTTTACTCCCATGTATGTCTGAAGGAAAGGGATGGGCTCAGCAGCCTTGGCCCTGCTGGGTTGACCTGGAGATGAAGAAATGCCCTTGCGCCACATCCTAATGCCTGGAGGCTATAGAAAATGTTATCTGGAGAGATTCAAAGGCATCCTGGTAGGAAAATTTCCCAAACTCTTTTCCACGTTCCCATCTCCCCTGGAAATCGGGTGTTACATTTACAGCTTTGGCTGTGTTCCTGACCGCAGTGTGCAGACTGAAGTCTGGCATTAAAGGTTTGTGCAGATACTCAATATTAACAGTATGCATCATGACATCATGACATGGACAAGTAATCAACTTCCCTGGTTCTATGGAGCATTCTGTGTATTTATTTTAGTTAGTTGTGTGTATGGATGTAAGATGGGGATGTA